GCTGTCCTGGAACTAGCTCTGTACATCAGGCTGGACTCGAAGCCGCCTGCCTCTGCCTTACAAGTGCTGAGACTAAAGGTGTGCGCCACCACCCAGTTTTTAAAGGCCATGTACAGCTAATGGTCCACACCTGCAACCCTGAATTTTTGTTCTTTTTGTTGTTGTTTTGCTTTTGAAACAGTATTTCTCTGTGTAGCTTTGTAGACCAGGCTAGCCTCGAACTCACAGACATCTGCTTGCCTCTACATTCCAAGGGCTAGGATTTAAGGCCAGTGCCACCACCAACCAGCAATCCCTGCATTCTTAAGGCAGAGAGGCAACAAGACCACACAAACTCAAGACCAGCTACTACACAGCAAGGCCAGGCCAGGCCAGCTATGGCTATTCAGTGAATCCCTCTTTCAACAAACAAATAGTGTGAGGGCCAAATTGTGGTATTGCCTATGGAAGTAATTCCTCACCAATAATAACTTTTAGAGCATGTCTGGGGCCGTGGAATAGTGGGGCATACTTATAATAACAGCAATCCAGAGACAGAGGCAGAAGGATTAGAGGTTCAAAACTAGCTTCTGCTACATTGCAAGTTCCAGGCTAGTCAGGGTTACGTGTGACAAGAAAGGGGAAAAAAAAAAGCCAAGCTAGATGGGTTGGCAAACCCAACACTCAGGAGGCAGCAACAGATGGATCTCTGTGAGTTCGAGACCAGCCAAGGTCTACACAGTGAGACCTTGTCTCAAAAAACAACCCCCCCAAAAAAAAACCACCCCAAAATCAAAAATGTCTTTCTTTTCAAAAAGATGAAGGGAGATTTCAAGATGGGACAGCAGGTAAGATGCCTGCTGCCAAGTGTGAAGGCTTAAGTTCCATCCCGGGGATGCCCGACAGTTGCCTTTACTCATGGACTGTGGCTCACACACATAATAAATAAATTTCTGCACACATAAGGAACAAGTTTAAATGTTTTTTGTAAAGTCAAGGGTGGGCTGGTGACTCAGTTGCTACAGCAACTACTTTAGCAACCACCTAGCAGGAACAAATCCCTGAGTTTAACACCAGTATCTCCAAAACTCAAAACCTTTCTCTGGGCTGAGTCTACAGATGAGTCATTTAGCACTTGCCTACCACATACACAAGAAGCCCTAGGTTCAACAACAACAGCAACACACACCCATGTTTATTTGTGCACTCTTGTTTCTCTCTCTTAATAAAAACAACTAAGTAGAACCTCATAAAACAGCCATGATGTAGAGGCAGATGGATCAGGAGTTCAAGGCCATCCTCTGTAGCATAGTGAATTTCAGGACACCCTGGACAACATGAGACTATCTAAAAACAAACAAACAAATAAATAAATAAATAAATGCTAAAGGGGGCAGTGGGCACTCCAGTATTCCATACTCCAAGGACTCCTACACCAAAATAGAAAACACCTCACTCAAAGGACCTCTGCCTTCACAGATCCTAAGATTGACGTTTTCACACTCAAAGCTAGGTGCGAGGCTTAAACAGCTTCTATATAGAAACCAATCTCTGTATTGAGAACTCATAATTCTCATTGAAAAGAGACCTCACAGACCCACAGGACTCAAGGAGGTTGACATGCATGGAGTAAAGAAGTTAGCTGTAGTTTTGAGCTGCATCCTCAAACTGTCCTTGAACTTGTGCTCCCCCTGTCTCAGTATTTCTAGTACTGGGGACACAGAAGGATGTCACCACACCCCACTCAATAAACTACTTTATGAATCAAGATCTACTTGCACTTGAGCTTCCTCACAGTACCCAATATAATAATGCAGGAATTTAAAATGTAGCCAAGCATCATACAGTGTGTCTGTAATCCCAGCACTTGGGCAGAGGAGCAGGAGGATGAAGAATGCAAGAACATTCTCAGCAGTCTGTACAAAAAGAAACTCAAAAACAGATAAGACAGGTGTTGGTAGCGCACACCTTTAATCCAGAACTCAGGAGGCAAAGGCAGGCGGTTCTTTGTGGGTTCAAGGACAGCCTGGTCTACAGAACCAGTTCCAGGACAGCCAGGCTTACACAGAAAAATCTTGTCTAGAAAAAAACCAAAACAAGCAGATAAAACAAACAACAAACTAAACTGCACTCTATGAGGTGGGCCTGATGCAGGTCTGTAACCCTTGCTATTAAAGGCTAATTTAGGAGAATCAGCTCACACCTTTATCCCTACAGGAGGCGGAACAGGCAGGCAGATCTCTAAGTTCAAAGCCAGCCTTGGTCTACAGTGAGTTCTAGGCCAGCTGGGCTACATAGAAAGTCCCTATGTGGCCATAGGTTCAGTCTTGAGAAACAAAAATGGGATATATATGAAGCCAGACGGGAAAGATAGCTCAGTGGGTAAAGGTTCCAGCTGCTGAACCCTGCCAGCCTGAGTTCAATCCCCACGAACCACACAAAGGTGGAGAGAGGGCTGACAATGTTGTCCTCTGGTGTCCACAGGCATACTGAGGCACACATGTACCCACACACACACAATTTAAACAATTGCTTAATTTCATGTACACTGGTTGTTTGTGGGTTTGTTTTTGCCTACATATATGTCTATGTGAGGGTGTCAGGTCCCCTGGACCTGGAGTTACAGTCAGTTGGCGAACTACTGCGTAGGTCCTGGGAATTGAACCCAGGGCCTCTGGAAGAGCAGCTCTTAACCACTGGGCCATCTCCCAGCCCAACATTTTATTTGTTTTTTTTTTTTTTTTCGAGACAGGTTTCTCTGTGTAACAGTCCTGGCTGTCCTAAAATTCACTCTGTAGACCAGGCTAGCTTCGAACTCACCCAGAGCCACCTGCCTCAGCCTCCCAAGTGCTGGGATCAAAGGCATGCGCCGCAACCGCCCTCCCAAGCCCAATAAGTTTTAAAAGTAGAATCTGAAGCCAAGTTGTTGGCACCACAGTGCTAGCCACTTCCTAGCCCAGTGGTCTCTGTTAAATAGTGTGTCTTCAAACCTCAGTCTCCCAGCTGTCAGATGCAGTATATAATACAATACTACTACACGGGATTTACTGTGAGACCTAGGTTCATGCACACAAAGTGAGAGTCGGATGCACATTAGCCATCGTTATTAACCACCTGGGGGAACTGCAACTGGACTTGGAGTCTGAGCATCCAGCTGGAAAGGCCTGTCTAGGAGTGTCTTGGAATGTGATTTGCATAACGGTTGAGGGCCAGCTGATGTCAGGGCTTCTTGAAGTTGCAGGTCAGCTGTAGCCTTGGAAGTGGTTCCAGCTGCAAGACAGCCCCACGGTCTCCCCACCAACACCACTTCCCACTCAACCGCTAAAGCACCAGGAAGTGAAACGCTGCAGCCCCATCGCCTCCAACTCACCCGGCTACCTCATCCTACCTTGGTTTCCTTACCTTCCTTCCCACCCTTCACCTCCTGTCTCTTGGGACTCTCAGGGCCTCCACCAGAGGTAGCAAAAGAGACACTACACAAAACGGAGTGGACTCCCTGCCTATGCATCTCCCTCCCAATCCCCTTATTCCATTTCTACCCATCCCCAAAACTGAGCCAATTCTAAAGGTAGGTAGCCTCATCACAGAATCCTAATAAAAACGTGTGCACCACAAGTTTCATTGGGCAGTTTAAAATAGTCCCAAAGGGGACTTGCTTCCCCGGCACATCCGGAAGGATACAGAAATTATCATGGCCCCCTTGCAAGGATGACATGAAAATCCGAAAGGCATTTTATATTTTAAAAAAATAGACTTCAGTTGGTGGTGGTGGCACACATTCAATCCCAACACTCAAGAGGCAGAGGCAAGCCAATCTCTGAGTTTGAAGCCAGCCTGGTCCACAGAGTGAGTTCTGGAGACAGCCAGGGCCACACAGAGAAACCCCTGTCTCAAAAAATTAGCAAAAACATTTGTCTCAGAGGAAAATTTAACTTGGGAAAGCTCTGAGAACGTTCCGTGTGATCGACAGCCTCATTCTGACTTCGAAATTGTTCTGGGACCCTCCCCTGGGGTTGGGGCAGTCCCAGCTCCAGACCACCCTCTCCTCCCACGTCCAACCTCACTCTCTGCTGCTTCCCTGGATGTTGCATCATGGAGGGTGATGAAATCATCCATCAGTGGATTTTACCCGTGGATGCAATAGGCTGAGGGACCAGCAAGGGTCATTGTCACTACACTTCCAACTCTCTCTCTACACTTTGGTAGCTATGGGGTAGGAGCAGAGGGGTCAGGGTGTTTAAGTTGGATTTCCCGTCCTTGGTTATGCTGGTTCCCTGAAAAGCCGTTACCTAAATCCCACAGAACCGATGACAACAACGTTAGGCTAAGTGGGGCGAAAAATCAAGCAGTCAGCATTATCACCCTGAAAAGTACCCTTTCCACAGTGAAGGCTGCCAGGGAGCAGCAGTCTCTCGCCACGCCCTCACACAGCAGCATCCCAGATCACAAAGCAGTTTCATGGTTACTGTTGCCTCCAAAACCAGGGCTGCCCCGTGAAAAGAACCCTTTTCCCACGGAAGAAAAGAAGAGCCTTGTTCTTACATGGAAGGGACCACACGGGAACCAAACTGAGCTCACCATGGGGTCTGGAGATGAATGAATGCTGTTTTGGTTTTTTCCTTAGGCAAGAGGAAGTGAGGAAATCATAGTGGGATGAGGTAAGAATAAAGCCTTGAGAGGCATTAAAAAAAGACGATTACACAGGAAGGAACTGGAGATGGTATTGATTTAAATGTTCACTACTTCCCCGCCCCTTCTGCAGCCATCTCTGTTCCTGGAGAGCATGACACAAGCATCCCGTCCTAGGCCTCTAGGCCACAGCAACCTCACCACTCACTTCCCTGGGGACTGAGGAGGCATACCTGGGCTCTCCACAGCGGGAGATGATGCAGAGAGGGGAATCCCACCTGCTCTGAGTCACCTGCTAGTGTAAAGGGCGGGCCTTGCAATGCAGGGACCTTAAAAAGAGGCAGCCAGACAAAGAGAAGAAAACAGGAAGCGGCTTAGAAACCGGGCTACAAGAGTCAGAGCAAAAGGAAGCTGTTGAGTCCACAAGGCCTGGTGCAGGCCACAGAGCCAGCGGCATCCGAGAAGCTGGCAACAAGATGCTGGACTGCAGAGCTGCACTACTGCTGTGGCTGCTGCCCTGGACCGCTTGGGGCCTGGCTGTGCCCAGGAGCAGCCGCCCTGACTGGGCACAGTGCCAACAGCTCTCTCGGAATCTCTGTACACTGGCCTGGGATGCACATTCACCAGTAGGGCATATGGTGAGTGTCAGCTCCTGGGGCCATGCAGAATCCCCTCTGAGCCCTCTAAGCCTGTAGATTTGATGTAAGCTGTGGCCCTGGGTGGACTCTAGGGGGCTGAAGGTCATCATGGAATTTGAGAGGACAGAAGACGGGACTTCTGGGAGAATCCCGGGCCAAGGATCCACTGGAATGCAAAAGTACTTATATCATCCCCCTCGTCCCTGTCCCAGGGTACACTAAGAGAAGAAGGAGATGAAGACACTAGGAATGATGTTCCCCACATCCAGTGTGGAGATGGCTGTGATCCCCAAGGACTCAAGGACAACAGCCAGGTACCACCAAGATGACTTTAGGGTACTTAGGGGAGGGGAGGAGGAGGAATGAGCCAGGCATCATAGCAACTGCTTAGCTATGCCTGAGGCAGAAAAGAAATGCAGTGGCATTGAAACCAGCCTGAGCTACATGTTAAAGGCCATAGCCTCAGCTGGTGAGATGCTGTCTAACACAGAAAGAAGGAAAGAGAAAAGATGAAGAGTATCCACAAGCTTCCAGTGCTTTCTTCTTTTCCTAGTTCTGCTTGCAAAGGATCCATCAAGGACTGGTTTTTTATAAGCAGCTGTTGGACTCAGACATCTTCACAGGGGAGCCTTCTCTACTCCCGGATGGCCCCGTGGGCCGGCTTCACACCTCCCTACTGGGCCTCAGCCAACTTCTCCAGGTACGAATCAGGGGTCTGGAGGATGGGGCTAGCCAGTGTCCGAGATGGAAGCCGGGAGCTTAGTGACAGAACCCTTTCTGACTCTGTCTGTGTCCTTTTAGCCAGAGGGTCACCACTGGAAGAGCCAACAGATGCCTAGCCTGAGTCCCAGCCAGCAGTGGCAGCGACCCCTTCTGCGTTCCAAGATCCTACGAAGCCTCCAAGCCTTTGTGGCGATAGCTGCCCGGGTCTTTGCCCATGGAGCAGCCACCCTGACTGAGCCCTTACTGCCAACTGCTTAAGTATGGCCCCCAGATTGCCATGGCTCAGCAATGAAAAGATTAATCTACCAACCCAGGCATCCATCAGCCAACAGAAGACCAACTGGCCCATTAGTACTTTTTGTTGTTGTTTGTTTTGTTTGAGAGACAAGGACAGTTTTGTTAAAGAATGATAATGATAATGATGATAATAATGATAATAATAATAATAATAATAACAATAATAATAATAATAATAATAAAAGCCCAGAGCAGGTGGCTCCCTAGAGGAAGGAGGTGGAGATTAGGAGTAGAGCCACGCCCTTTGCCACGGCAGTTGGCAAGCAATCACATGGTATAAGGGGTAGGATGTGGGGAGCACATCAGAGAAACAGCGAGAAGCCCAGAGTGTCAGAAAAATCAGGAAGAAAAAGGGGAAGTTACACTTTTCTGAGTAGCCGGGAAAAGTGTGCAGGCTCACAGTATTAAAAGTGGAATAGGGACTCTGACGCCTAACCTGTGACAAGCTGCGTATTTATTAATCGGGAAGGGGTATTTTGGTATTATTTATCCTTGTAACAGCAGTTTAGAGGATTGTTATTTATTATATTTATAAGGAATTATGTATTTTTCCCCAATAAAGCCGTATTTATGTGGCTCTCTGAGTCTCGTTTCTAAGCATAGTTGGGAAAAGAAGCAGCTGAGTAACAATGGGAGCTACATGTCTATTCCTTCCCTGCTGTAACATTCCGAGGGACAGAAATGGCTGCACCAACAAAAGAAAAGAAGCAGTGTGTCAAGAGGAATGTCCCAGAGTAGGCTTGAGAGGCCACTGCTTGATGATGTAATGCCTAAACATTACTGGCCTTGCTGTCCCTAGGGAATTAGCTTTGGGGAACAGACAGGCATGTGGAAAAGAGACACTTCCACCGGTTTTTGTTGTTGTTGTTCTAACGAGAGTTTATTAGGATGTACAAAAGACTCTGAAACAATAGTTCATTTTAGCTATAGGAAACATGGTGACAGATGCTACAGCAGAGAACCCAGGCACTTACAAAGGGACGGAACGAAGCATTACTATCATTTCAGGCACAAGGAATTCTCTCTCTCTCTCTCTCTCTCTCTCTCTCTGAGTACCACTGTGTCACCCTGGCTGGCTCAAAACTCAGAAAGATCCACCTTCCTCTTCAGTGCTGACATTAAAGTCACATACTACCTGCCTGGCTTTGCCAGATCTCTCTCTTTGCAGCTCTCTCTCTCTCTTTGCAGATCTCTCTCTCTCTCTCTCTCTCTCCTTTTCGTTCCTGCCTTCTCTCTTTCCCTCCCTGCCTTCCTTTCTTTATTTTTTGAGTCAGGGTTTCTCTGTGTAGCCCTGGCTGTCCTAGAACTTGGTTTGTAGACCAGGCGCACCTGCCTCTGCCTCCTGAGTGCTGGGATCAAAGGTTCATGTCACCACCACCTGGCTTTGCTGAATTTCTTAACTTCACCGGTGGGCTGGGGCCCTTTCTCGTATGGCTTCTGCTTTTAGCTCCCTGAGTTTCCTCCTCTTTGCGTGTCTTCCTTATCTACTTCCTTGGGTTTTGGTTTGTTCACTGTCCCCTCTCCCCACTGTTAACTCCTTCCGGAACAGGACTGTCACAGTATGGCTGGCTCGTGTTCACATGCCACTCAAGTCGTCCCACAGGCACACCTAAGAGCAGTGCAGCCGCTCCCCGGTCCCTGGATGTCCAGAGGCCTCTGATAAACCTTCAAGGGTCTGAGGTCCTTGCCTGGGTCACGCCTGAGGGACAGACGCTTTGCTTTCATGTTAAATAATGCACAAAAGAAGCAGTTACTACTTACTAGTAAGACAGCTCTTGCAGATGTCTCTCCGCTCAATTCTACTGAGTGCTAGAAGAAGAAATTCCCTCCGGGCAGTGGTGGTGCACACCTTTAATCCCAGCTCTCAGGAGGCAGAGAGGCAAGCAGATCTCTGTGAGTTCGAGGCCAGCCTGGTCTACAGAGCGAGTTCCAGGACAGCCCCCAAAGGTGAGGCTGCCTAATGCAGCAAAGCTTTACATCTTCCTAAGGGATCAGGGTTGCTGTGCAGGGGAAGGGTGAGCAGGGCTAGGAGGAACCCTATTTGCCAAGCCCGTCCTCAGGATAGAGTTCACATGGTGGGCTGAAGCAGACAGCTCTCAGCCTGTACAGGAAAAAATGAGATTTAGAATTGGAGTCAGGAGCGAAGAGAGAAGGAAAGGGTCAGTTAGAGCTGTAGTGACCAGAAGAGAGGACTTAAAGGACTTGAAGTATGGCTCAATGACATCATGATTACCTACCACAGCTGAGAGTTTGGGTTTGGCAAGACCCAGGATAGCAAGGCGGGAGGGAGGACAAAACTCCATCCATCTCTGTGCTCCCCACAAGGTCCAGCGATGGTTCACACCATTTGGCCTTACCAGTCACCAAACCATTAAAATCCTTCCATATTGAAAAGATACCACTGCCTTGGACCCTCTACCAATCTCTCAAATGTACTGGCTTGCCCTCAGGACCCCTGTGTCTCCCAGCATGCCAGGCAGACTCAGGATCCTAGCAATACTTCGGCCAGTGTCTGTTCTGACTATTTGGTGCAGCTTCAAGGCCATCTTATGCTTTTACCTCTTACTCCAAAGTTCATGGCTAACCCCGCTCAGAAGGCCTCATTCCCACTGCTGGAAGCAATGCTCTGGTATGGGAGGTAGGAAGGACAAAACGGGAATGTGGCTCTTAGTCATCAGAAGGAATCAAGGGTCCATCCACATCAAAATGGCTTTGGCAGGACATGTAGGCTTCATCTATGATGTTTTGGTCAGCCAACATCGGGTCACCGTGGGGCATGATGTCATCAATATTTATGGTGCTGAAGACTAGCACACAGAGAAAAAATGTCAGGCCCTGATCCAAGTTAGACAGGCACACTCTGGAGCTGAATGAACGAAGGAGGTCGCTTGCATGTCCTAACATCAGGAGTCACCGGGAAGTTAACCAGGGCCTTGGAGCTCCCCCTTTGGAAATGGGTCAGAGTGAGGTAGCTAAGGATGTCCCCTCTCCCCTTCTCACTTACTTTCCATATCCACCGTGTTCAGCTGCTGCAGATCATGAGGTAAGTCTGACTCTGGTGACAGCTCCGAGGCAGGTCCCGGGCCGGCCTCCAGCAATGTTTGTGTGGTCACACATGGTGTGGGCTTTGGTTCCAACCCTGTCCCCAGATCCAGCCCTTCCTTCATCAGCATCTGCAACTCCAGATCTTCTAATGTGGCTGGCATGAGCTCTGAAGTGAGCTCTGAGGGACCCAGCTCTGCTTCCGGTTCAAGCTCCGGAGGTTGCTGCAGCTCGTCCACCTGCCTAGGTAGACAAGGACAGACAATGGGACAAGACTCAGTGAGTGAAAAAAAAGTGAGTCATGTCAGAGCAAGCAGAGGCTGTGTTTCTGGTCTAAGAAGGTGGCAGGGAACTAGGTGTGTTTGCTCACACCTTTATCCAGCACTCAGGAGGCAGAGGCAGGGGAATCTCCGTGAGTTTGAGAACAGTCTGGTCTACATGGTGAGACCCCTGCCTGGGGTGTGGAGCCAAGATGCAACAGTCTAAAACCTTGGGCTTTATAATCAAGATTTTAAGATTTTTGTTATTATTCGTTCTTTCCTTGGGACAGGGTCTCGTGTAGCCCAGGCCAGCTCTTCAAATCTCTACAGAGCCAAGGCTAGCCTGGAACCTGTGCTCCTTCTGCCCTCTACTCCCCAAGTGCTGCAGTGCCTGCCTGGCCTTGAAATCAGGGCTCACCTGTACTAGCTAGGTGAACCGCAGATTACCATTTACAACTTTTTACGTTTATTATTCTTATTTCCTGTGTGCAAGCATTTGCCTGTTACCCACTCCAGTGGGTCCTCATAAGGGCTGAACAGGCAGGGTCCCATTACATGAGTGGCTACGGTCATGGCCACCAGGGAACACATATGTCGACAGCAGGAAAGATGGCCGCAGGAGACCATGAGGGGAGAGAGGTTGGTGAGCTGGGGTCGGCAGGCAGGGGCCCTTGAGTTTGTATCTCACCTGTTGGAGACCACAATGAGCCTGTGTTTCAGGTATTTCCTCCGCTCTTCAAAATTAACTGTGGGGACAGACAGCAGGTGGGAGGGATCAATGTGCTGGACACGCCCGGGTCAAGTTGCCCTAGAGCAGGACAGTCCTGACAAATGGACCTCCCAATTAAGGGGCATGCGCCGCCGAGGAGAAATGCGCCCTGTGTGTGTGTGTGGGGGGGGGCTGGATTTACCAGTATCTGAGGAACCTTTCACTCTAGGAGGGGCTATGCCAATGATCCCAACCTTTTTCGTGGTAGTAGTGCCCGAAAGCTTCATCCCGAGGGATTCTGGGATAGAGGAAGCGTAGTGGGTTCTCAGGGATGTTCTCCTCGGCAAGAACCTGGTAGTGGCGGATGATCTCCGTCAGTGCGAGTGACTGTAGCACTTCCTTGGTGTACGGCTGCACGGAGTAGATGAGCACTTTGTCTGAAAGACAGACTCGCACAAGTGGGCTTGAGGCGAGGCTGGCCCCAGTTTCCCCCCCGCCCCCGGCTACGATGGGATCCAGGCGGAGCCCCAGAAACCACGGGTAGGCAGAGAGGGTCAGAGGGGGTGGGGCGGGGTGCCTGGCGGAGAATAAAGACTGCAGGAATGGTCGAGGGGGTGTGTGAGTGTGAGGACGGTGCGGTGTGGGTGACAGGGTGTGTGTGTGGTGGGGGATGTGATTGCGTGTGTGACGTGTGTGATGGGGGAACGACAGGGTTGTGTGTGTGGTGTGCGTGTGATAGGAGTGTGTGAGGGGGAGGAGGGGAGATGTGGGGGGCGGGTACTGACGCGGGGGCGGGTACTGATGTGGGGGCGGGTACTGATGTGGGGGGTGTGGGGGCGGGTACTGATGTGGGGGGCGGGTACTAACGTGGGGGGTGTGGGGGGCGGGTACTGATGTGTGGGGGTGTGGGGGGCGGGTACTGATGTGTGGGGGGTGTGGGGGACGGGTACTGACGCGGGGGCGGGTACTGACGTGGGGGGGTGTGGGGGGGCGGGTACTGATGTGGGGGGCGGGTACTGATGTGGGGGGTGTGGGGGCGGGTACTGATGTGTGGGGGGTGTGGGGGGCGGGTACTGACGTGGGGGGCGGGTACTGACGTGGGGGGGTGTGGGGGCGGGTACTGATGTGTGGGGGTGTGGGGGCGGGTACTGACGCGGGGGCGGGTACTGACGTGGGGGGCGGGTACTGACGTGGGGGGCGGGTACTGATGTGGGGGGGTGTGGGGGGCGGGTACTGACGTGGGGGGTGTGGGGGCGGGTACTGACGTGGGGGCGGGTACTGATGTAGGGGGCGGGTACTGATGTGGGGGGTGTGGGGGGCGGGTACTGACGTGGGGGCGGGTACTGACGTGGGGGCGGGTACTGACGTGGGGGCGGGTACTGACGTGGGGGCGGGTACTGACGTGGGGGGCGGGTACTGACGTGGGGGGGTGTGGGGGGCGGGTACTGATGTGGGGGTGCGGGGGCGGGTACTGACGTGGGGGGATGTGGGGGCGGGTACTGACGCGGGGGCGGGTACTGACCATCGTCCTGGTGCTCCACCCATGAGCATGTGATGCCCCCCTCAGAAGTCTCACTGAAGCGCAGCAGAAAGGTCCCCGACACCATCTTCTTGAGCAGTCGCCGTTCCTGGCTTCGGCTCACAAAGCCCATGATAAGCCTGGAGCAGACACAGCACTGTGAGGCCCGCCCGCCTGTGCGGGGAGTGGGAAGGGGGTTCGGCCCGTTCTGTCCCCTTGACATTGCTCCTGCTGCAAGGGTTTGAAGAGGCGTGAGCACTCAGTGAGGGCACAATGATGAAAGCAAGAGGCGAGGGGTCACAGCTAAATGTGCCTGCCCACCTGAGTTCAGTGTGTCAGACACACACTCACACACACTCACATCCACACTCACGCACTCACACACACTCACACATCCACACACACATCCATACTCACACACACACTCACACTTGCTATATAAACCATGTTGGTCTTGAACTCACAGATCTACTTGACTCCTGAGAGCTGGGATTAAAATAGTAGACACTATGCCCCCGCTCTGTTTTATTTTTATGTATTGTGTATGTGTGAGTGTATATGTGTGTGTGTGTGTGAGAGTGTCATGTGAGTGTGGATGTATGAGTGTGTGTGTATGTGTGTGTGAGTGTGGATGTTTGAGTGTGTGTGTGCGTGAGTGTGTGCGCGTGTGAGTGTGGATGTTTGAGTGCGTGAGTGTGTGTGGGTGTGTGTGTGAGTGTGTGTGAGTGAATGTGTGAGTGTGGATGTTTGAGTGTGTGTGAGTGTGTGAGTGCATGAGTGTGGGTGTGTATGTGTGTAAGTGTGGGTGTAAGAGTGTGTGTATGAGTGCATGCGTGAGTGTGGATGTGTGAGTGTGTGTGTGCCTGAGTGTGGATGTTTGAGAGTGTATGTGTGAGTGTGTGTGTAAAAAACGACAAAGGCCAGGTGATGGGCAGTTGCCCAGGCCTGGGTCTATTCCCAATTCTGCCCATTGAGCAAGTTCCTAATTCTCCAAATGGGTCTCCTCACGAGACCGAAGGTGGAACCGTTCACCACCCAGTGTGGTTTTAAAGGACGGCATGAACATGAGCACACCCAGCAGGCTCTGCCACGCTGCAGACACTTGACACACAGAGGCCACAATTCCTAACGGGACCCCTCCCACCCGTGTTTGGTCCCTCCTGTGCCATAAGGGGGCGCACGAAGACCACTCCTGAGCCCATTGGGACAAAACCCTGGGCAGGAAGGCTGAGACGCCTTACCCATCCCTTACCCATCGTTCCAGAGCTCCTTCAGGTGGTCGTGGACCAGCTCCAGAATTTTGTCCAGCCATGTCCAGAAAGGGATCTTGCCAGGGGGGCTGTCTCTCTGAAGGAGGAATGGGAAGGCAGGAAGAGATTGGAGCTGCCCTTCGTGTAGGGAAGGGTCCAGGCAGGGCCAGTACTGGCCTGTGGCCTAGAGGGACACAGGCTGCTGGGAGTTACCTTAGTGAAATCCACCCAGGACAAGGACGCATCCTCCATCTTGCAGTTCTTCCCTGCGGGACAGTCACAGATGGTTTGGGTGACTGAAGGGGGCCGGGCCGGGCAGAGGGTAGGGCAAGCTAGGCTGGGGACAGGCTGAGGGCAAAGACGGCGGTACCAAAGAGCTTGTTCTTCAGCATGCCCAGCTGCTCCGAATTGAGGCCTCGGCCAACGTAGGAGGAGAACTGCCAACTGAGAACAGGCCCCAGCAAGCTCCAGGGGGCTTTAGGAGCCTGGCGGAAGAATTGCGGGTTCTGCGGGGCAGGGGAGGGGAGGGGAGGGGAGGTGAGATGGCTCCCAGCAGCCCTTCCCTCCAGGCCGCCCGCCCACCCCCTGCCCGCCACTCCTCTCTGCTCCTCAGGCCTCACCCTCCTACCTGGGGGGTTGGGCTGAGCATGTTGAACCAGAGAACTGAGGCCCAGGCGATGGAGAGCTGGTTCATGTTGGAAATGATCACCACTGGGAGAGTGTCCGTCTGGGAGAAAGACCGAAGTCATGGACGTCTGCCTCGGGGGGCCTGGGTGCCGCCTCCATGGGTGTGGCGGCGCCTCCCTCCCTCCCTCCCTCCCTCCCTCCCTCCCTCCACCGTGTGCCTTCGGAATCTGCCCACCCGTTCCCTGCTTTCCCTCGCTCACCTGCAGCTCCATCCTCATGCCCTGGTACACGTATCGCACCACGACGCTGATGACGTGTAACTCCTCCGTCACGGCCAGCGGCCCCTGCAGAGTCACCGCAGGGGTTAGAGGGCTCTTTGGCCATCACTGGCCTCAGCTCGCGGCTCTGGTGAGTCCCCGGCCTCACCTTATTGGTGCCTTTTCCCGGACCCACAGAGCGTTGCTCCACCAGCGTCTGTGAATGGGGGAGAATACAATGCCAGGAAGGGGACCCAGAGGCCAGGACCTGGAAATTAGTTGCCAATGCTATTAATCCTTCTTACCAAGAAGCCGAAGTCCCAAATTAACCCTTGCCTCTGGCCCTCCTCAGGGGTCAGGGTTTTTAGGTTTGAGGTCAGAATGTTGAACTTCCGGAAGCTGTTCCAGGGAAAAGGTAGATGGAGACAAAAAAGGCAAAGAGTAAGGTTGGTATCTGCTCCCCTCTCTCTCTCTCTCCTCTCTCTCCTCTCTCTCTCTCTCTCTCTCTCTCTCTCTCTGTGTGTGTGTGTGTGTGTGTGTGTGTGTGTGTGTGTGTGGCCCAGGCTGGCCTTGTATTCACAGTGATATTCTTGTCCCGGCCTCCTAAGTACTGAAGTTCCCAGATGTAACCCACCGTGCCGTACTCAGAGTTAGTTTTAGGAATCAGCAGGAAAGGGCCAGTGAGATGGCTCAACAAGTAGAGAGGCTTTCGGCCAAGCCTGATGACTTGACTTCAACCCCCCAGGACCACATGGTGGAAGGAAAGAACAGACTCCCACTAGCTGTCCTCTGATCTACACATATTTCCAAATTTCTCTCTCTTGATCGTGCACATGTACACACACACACTCGCTCTTTCCGTAACTAAAATTAAAAGAAAAATATACAACTTAGCAGGAAAACAAAAACCCCACTTCATTTCAGATTTCCCCTTCTCCTCCTGTCCACGGGCCACGCAAATCCCCTTCCTCCCATGGATTCCCACCAGGGTTGCCGAACGTGGCAGTGCAGGTCAAGGCATGCAGAATGCATGTGTGCATCAGGCACCTACCCTGGTAACTCTGAATTCCTGAAAAGGAAGAAAAAAAAACAATCACTGGTCCTGTGGGAGTGGGGGGGAGACAGCTCAGAAGCTGCCCTTCCCACCAGCCTCCACCTGGGGGGGTAAAGCAGTTAGGGACTTGGTCTGGGTGGTCAGGACAGGTTCTAGAGTTCGCTAACCACATGCCCTAGAGGAAGAGACACTGTGAGTTCGTGTCTTGTCAGACACGTTGGTAACGCCTGTCTGGTGGGGGTGTTAGCACAATAAGCCTGAGACAGGCTGCACCCTGCACCCTGGGTGCTCAGCGAGGGGGGCTGGGCTTTGTTGCTGTTGTTTAGGGTCGTGTGTGTGTGTGTGTGTGTGTGTGTGTGTGTGTGTGTTTTGTTGTTTTGAGACAGGGTTTCTCTGTGTAACAGCTCTGGCTGCCCTGGAACTCATTTTGTAGATGAGGCTGGCCTCGAACTCAGAGATCTCCCTGCCTCTGTCCCCTGCCTGCTGGGATTAAAGAATGCACATACTATCACTCCTGGCCTGAGGGAGGTGTTTTTACTTCTGCAAGGTAGACTAGAATGGACAGAAGGCACCCTGCGGGTCTGCCTATGCAGCGACCACCACCAGTACCAGCCTATTCCTACTGGGCATCTTAGTCAACTTACCTGTCAATGGAGACCTCTGCTTTGAGTGACTCATTGCCCTCCTGGAGTCTCACCAGCAGTCTGGGGGAAATAGGAGGTGGATGGGATATAGGGGTCAATCTCAAATTTTGTGGTTGTTTGTATTTTCAGACAGGGTTTCTCTGTGTAACAGTCCTGAAACTCGCTCTGTAGACCAGGCTGGCCTCAAACTCACAGAGATCAGCCCGCCTCTCTCTGCCTCCCAAGCCCTGGGGTTAGAGGCGGGCACCACCGCTGCCTGGCTTTCAAATTCTTGATTGGGTCAGTTGTGGAGAAAGGACTGTGTGTGAGGGGAAATTAGAAGGGAAAGGAGAAAATCAAGCAACCTTGTTCGGACAGTGAACTTGCTCCCAGTCTTCAGGATAAGGGGTCGATGGAGAGTTTGGGGCATGCAGGGCTGCGTTTCCACCACGAAGGACCTAAGGAAAGGAGAGAAGATAACAGTTCAGTGTCTGTAACAACAGTCACCCCGTGTTGCCTCCCTGTCCCTCCCCCCCAGGCCCCCCCCAGGCCACCGGACCTTTGCAGCAGGCGTTGTAGTAACTCTGTGACTTGGGCATTCTGCAGCTCCACCCCTTTGCTAAACATGTCCCCCTCATACTTAAGCATGTGACTCATTTCTTTTAGCTGTTTCAGCAGCTGCCGAAGATGGAACAAGACCTTTGCTCCGGCTGTCAACCTGGGTGACAGAGTCCAGGGAGAGAGGATGAGTTTCAAGGACCCCGCTGAGGTCCTGGGTGCCCTGCTCTCCTTCCCCCCCCCCTCCTTCCTTCCGTCCATCCTTCCTTCCTTTATTTATTGGTTTTTGGAGTCAGGGTTTCTCTGTATCACTTTTGAGCCTGTCCTGGAACTCACTCTGCAGACCAGGCTGGCCTCAAACTCACAAAGATCCGCCTGGCATGAGCCACTGACACCGAGCTGTACTCTCTCCTTCTAATGATGTAGAGGACTGCGGAACTGACTTGAGGGGCTGGAGAGATGGCTCAGCGCTTAAGAGCACCGGCTGCTCTTCCAGAGGACCCTGGTTCAATTCCCAGCACCCACACGGCGCGGCTGTCTGTAACTCCAGTTCCACGGGGCCTGACACCCTCCCCAGGCATACATGAGGCAAAGCACTAATGCATGTAAAACAAATTAATTAATTAATTAATTAATTAATTAAAGAAAACACTGACTTGACTAAAAAAGAACCCAGAGCCAGGTGAGCCACTGAGCCAGCCTGGGACACATGAGACCCTGTCATGGAATCCAGGAAGCATATGACAAACTTTCCAGCACACTTTTTTGTCCCCTAGACAGAGTTTCTCTGTATAGCCTAGGCTACCCTGGAGTTCTCTCTGTAGACCCGCCTGCCTCTGCCTCCGAGTGTTGGGATTAGAGGAGTGTGCCGCCCCACCACCACCCGCTGGGATCTGAACTCAGACCTTATGCTCCAACTGCAAGCTTGTTCCTCTAGGAGACATTTCCTCAGATACTGGTTTGTTTGTTTGTTTGTTTGTTTTCTGCGTGTGTCCTCAAGGCAGGGTCTATGTATACACTCCAGACCAGCCTGAACTCTGAGTTCTTGTGTGTTTCCTCCATAGAGCCTGGGTCCCTGGACCCCACCGGCAGCCACACTCAGCTCAGAGTCCTCTTTTTGTTCATTCTGCTGTTTGCTTTCCAAACCAGGGTTTCTCTATTTAGCCTTGGCTGTCCTGGAACCGTGAGGGCTAGACCTGGTGTGTGCCTGAGGAAGGGGAAGGAAATCTCTCCCTCTTACCATTGCTCCAGCTGTTCCAGCTGCAGCTCCGGCGGTGGGGCTCCAATGCAGGACCTCTGCTGCTGCACCTTCCACTCATCCAATTTTGGCAGCAGCAGATCGACCAGGGTGGTTAATCGGCCTACTAGTGCTCTGGAGGTATCCAGCACCTCCTAGCAAGGGGAAAATTGGAGTGCTAAGCACCTCTCACCAGCGCCTCATCAACCAGCTGACCAGAGAGGCCAGGCCCCCTTCCCCCCACACCCCTCTCCCTGCAGTCCCCTGCAGCCCTGTCTGTCAACCGCCTTCACCTTTCGCATCCTGTCCAGTTCGTTGACCGTTGTCTGTACGAGCTCCACCTGTTCCTTCTGATGCTTGTCGGAAGACTGTGTTTTCTCTGAAACGAAGAACCGAGAGTCAGCTCACAGCTTCCTTGCTCTTCCCTGGCCAGGGTCTCTATGACGGGTGGAGGGAGAGGCAGGGAGTACCAGGCAGAGTAGAGGCGCCTGGGACCCCACGGGCAAATTCTGAATGGAACAGAAGCCCACCCAACTGCCGTGGCAGTTTGACACAGAAGCCCTCCATCATTCACCAGCCAAGCTACTCCGTCCCCTACAACACACGCTGGACCTCTGTTTTGTGTGCTGACGGGACTGTTGACACTGACATGTATGGCTGTACGAACTGCTGCTCGCCAGAGCATTCAGTTTCTGTCATCATCCACTAGGCCCCCGAGATGGACCCTGGCTTTCTCCCACTTTGAGTGGACCTACTTTGAGTGAGAATTGTGTATCTGAAGCTGAAGACGTCATGCAGGTCTTTCAGTTGCCTGACGGATCTCACCAACATCTGTGGAGGAAATGGGACCCCAGTAAGTCTGCTTCTGCGGGGGCCAGAGGAACTGTACCCTCTCCGCCCTGACACTTGCCGCATCCACCAACCTCAATCACACCCTGCAAATCCAGGATCCGGGATTCAATCTCAAGCTGCTGGCTTCCCACTGTTGCTTCGGGGGCTGGCCTGGCTTGTACCTGAAACAAGAGGTTCTGAACATGTCTGAATCCTGACTTTCTTCTCTTTTCTGAGACAGGGTTTCACTATGTAGCCCTAGCTGTTCAGGAACTCGCTCTGGAGACCAGGCTGGCCTCGAACTCACAGGGCTCCGCCTGCCTCTGCCTCCCGAGTGCTGGGATTAAAGATGTGCACCCCCTCACCTTCCCAAGATGAACGATGACTTTTCCCTCCTAAAATCGGGACTGAAATTAAACTGCAGAATGGGGGGAGGTCCTGGTCGGAGACAAGTTCACTGAGTCCTTTGTTTCCATAGAGTCTTTCTATCCAGGAGCTTTCAACAATCCCCATATTGTTCTTACCTCCTGAGCCCTTTGAGCCAGATTCAAAATTCTTTTCTCTTCCAGGAGAAGGTTAAAGATCATCTCAGCCAGCTGGATAGGGCCCTTAGGAAAGGTCTAAGTGGGAAAAAAAACCAGAAGGATTGACCTATTTAACTACCTTAACAACCAGCCAGTCCAGACCCTGCTCTCAGTGTTCATCAGGGTCCCTGGCCACCTGTATCTACCTGTATCAGTCCTTTACTCTGCCAGTGATACCCCAAGCCCAGAGTCCCTCCCTTTGCATCTTTAGGAACAGTCCTGAACCCCAGCCCTTACCCTACACCCCATTAGCCCAGCTCTTCCTGGTACCTGGATGTCCCGGCTGAATTTTCGCAAGTTATGCTGCAATAAAAAGCAGTCCGGGTCTGAGCAATGGTCCCACTGGTTCAGCTGGTCCAGGATGTTGAAGTACAGCATATTGGCCTTGGAATGATCACTGCCTAGCACGGCCTCCCCCCTGAAGACCAGGCAAAAAAGGACTAAGACCTCAGTAAAGTTGTCGCTGCTGTGAGATCTCCCACCCCACCCAGGACCCTGTGGGCTGAACTCCCGAAGCCCTCACCAGTTCTGGTCTTCAATCCAGGCAGCCAAGTGCTGTCGGACAACCATTGGCAGGGTGCTTTGAGAGTAGAGCTGGTGCAGCTGGTCCAGAAATGGGCTGTCAATGTTCTGCAGCGTCTCCCACTGTGCCATCTGGAGTCTGAGTGGAAAGGATGTCGGTTCTCAACTCGACATTTTATGGAACCAAACCATCCATAGTCTCACGATGATTTATGAATCTATTGTCTGGCTTATAAACACGGACAGGCCGCGCGGTGGTGGCACATGCCTTTAGCCCCAGCGCTGGGGAAGTCAGGCTATGGGACATTTGTACATTGTAAATATGTATTACTCTCACTGGCTAATATAGAGGTGGCTGGCCTATAGCTAGGCAGGAGAGCCAGTCTAGGAGGGTGCTGGGCGGAAGGGCAGGGTCTGGGGAGCCACCAGCCAGATGCAGAGGAAACAAAATGAGGTAACAAGCCATGAGCCACGTGGCAGTAAGTAAAGGAATAGAAATGGGTTCGTTTAAAACATAAGAGCTAGGGGCTGGAGAGACGGCTCGGTGGTTAAGAGCACTGACTGCTCTTCCAGAGGGCCTGGGTTCAATTCCCAGCACCCACGTGGCAGCTCACAGCTGTCTGTAACTCCAGTTACAGGGGACCTGACACCTTCACACAGACATGCATGTAGGCAGAACACCAATGCACATTAAATTAAATAAATTATTTAAAAAAAAAAAACCCCTAAGAGCTAAAATGTAGTTAGTAAGAAGCCTAAGCTACGGGCCAAGCATTTATAGTTAATAACAAGCCTCTGTATGCTTAGGGAGCCGGCTAGAGAGACAGAACTGACTGTTGGGACAGGAAAAACTCTAACTACACTGGACATGAGACCTTGCCTCAAAAAAAAAAATTGTGTAAGGGTTGTTTACGTATACATTATTCAACTTAACAAATAATATTTCCACTATCTAATGCCATCTAGGCCATCCAGTTATGAGTTATGACTCGGGCAATCCCTAGTCTTCTCTCTCTCCTTCTCTGTCTCCTCTCTCTTTTATACAGTGTTCTGCCTGCACGTGTCCCTGCAGGCCAGAAGAGGGCGCCAGATCTCATTACAAATGGCTGGGAGCCACCGCGTGGTTTCTGGGACTTGAACTCAGAACCTCTGGAAAAGCAGCCAGTGAGTGCTCTTAACAGCTGAGCCACCTCTCCAGTCCCTTACTGCCTTCTCTTACCTATTATGGGAATTAAAAGTTACTCATCTGCTCCCACCAGCTGCCCAAGGAACCTCTCTGATGATGGGCTATGAGGATAACAGAATATCATTAGGAATCATTTCACTGAATTTTTTTTTTTTTAAGAGCTTGGGGAACCCTGAAAGAGGGGGAGGAAGAATTGTAGGAGCCAGAGGTGGTAAAATGACACTGAAGAGGTAATCACGGAGCCTGCATGGGTTACCCTAGGTCCTTCCCATACATGCTGGGGTTCTTCCGGAACTCCTAGCAGTGGGAGTGGGGCTGTCTCTGACTCTTTTGCCTGCTCTTGGGGCCCTTTTCCTCTTACTTGGTTGTCTCTACCAGGCTGCCTTGTCCATCCTTGACATGACCGTTTGTGGCTAGTCTCATTGCCTCTTGTTATGTAGGGTTCTGTGCACTGGGAGCCCTGCTTCTTTCTGAAGGGAAACAGAGGAACAGTGGATCTGGGGGCAAAGTGGGGAGCAGTGTGGGGAGAGGGGCTGCAGTCAGGCTACGTTATATGAGCAACAAACACTCCCGTGTTTTTCGAAGTCACATGATTCTACTACACAGCAAACAAAACATCTAGGGTCTGTGAGCTGGCTTTCTTCCCCTGAAGTAGGAATAGGGAAGGGAAGAGATTGGACAGGAGATACAACTTTTCTTAATTCACAAACAAAGGAAACATTAGTGTGTGTGTGTGTGTGTGTGTGTGTGTGTGTGTGTGTGTGGCTGGGATTGAGTCAGGAAGGGCTGCAGACCAGAACAGGACTTCAGACTCCCTGGAGTTTAACTTTGAGGGTATTGTGAGTCTCCCAGTTTGGGCTCCGAGAACTGAACCCCAGTCCCCTGCAAGGGCAGTGAGCTAACTTTTCCTCATTTTAGCCTTCCATCAATAATCCTTGGCTGATCCTTGCTGGAGACCAAGCCTCTCTTGTACTCTGTGAATGTTCTAGATGAACTACATCATCAGATGGGCATTTGACTTTTTTTCTTCTTGTTTTTTCAAGACTGGATTTCTCTGTGTAGCCCTGGCTGTACTGGAACTCCCTCTGTAGACCAGGCTGGCCTCAAACTCACAGAGATCGCCTGCTTCTGCCTCCAGAGTGCTGGGATCAAAAGTGTGCACCACCACCTGGCCTGGATTGCTTTTAAGAAACAAGAAACAAAAACTTTGCTGGGTGGTGATGGTGCACACCTTTAGTCCCAGCACTTGGGCACCCGGGAGGCAGAGGCAGGCGGAGCGGGCCCCAGGGACACAACAAAAACTTCATTTTAAAGACAAGATCCTAGTTCTTCAGGAATTAAAGGTCTAGTAACAAAGCTAGGGAACAGGTAAACTCTGAGATTTAAATAAGAAATCAAAACATAAGGGAAAAAAAGTTGTTGGATGTGGTGTTACACACCTTGAATCTCAGCACTGGGGAGGCAGAGGCCCAGCCTGGTCTACATAGCAAGTTCCAGGACAGGCAGGGCTACACAGAGAAACCTTGCCTCAAAAGGAACAAGTAAAACAGTCTTCCTAAGTGGATTGTACTGTGGTTATGGAAGCTGTAACCTCTCAAACACCAATTCTGCACTAAATAAAATTTTCTGAAACAAACTAGACTTTGTAAGTAACCTTAAGCAAACAGTTTCACCTTCCAGGACTTCAATATATATATATATGTTTGTATGTATATATGTGTCTATGCATATATACATAACAAATAAGGATGTCCATGTTTTCATTTATTTATTAATTCATTTGTTTATTTTGGTGAGGATAAAAAAAATTATGCAAAGGGGTTGGAAAGAAAGATGATGGCTCGGCAGTTAAGAGCACTGGTTGCTGCTCTTCCAGAAGCCCCCACTGGGTTCGACTCCCAGCACCCACAGGGCAGCTCATGACCAGCACTCCAGTCTCAGGTCTGGCGATCTCTTCTGACCAACACAAGCATTGCACGCATGTGGCACACAGAGAAAGCATACTTAGAAATGAAATAATAAATAAACAGACAGATAACGCAGGGGTTAAAGCTTTGGCTTGTGACAGGGGACAAATGCTGCATGCCGAGCTTCAGGGGTTGCAGAGGAGTTTTGAAGGAAGTCGACAGGGCTGAGAAGTAGAGCAAAGCGGGGGTGTGACATCCCGGACAGGGGCATCACCGGGGGAGTAGCCTTCCCCGGATCGAACTCGCGCCTCCCTGCTGCGCACACGCTCTCGGGGCCTGTACCTTCTGAGGCTCCGGTGCCGTTCCTCCCAGTGCCTCCCGCGGCAACGTCCACTCCTCCGGGCGGCTCAAGAACCCCACCCCGCCCCCGACTTCGGCGGACCAGGACCACGATCACCGGGCGAGCGAAACGGATCCGCCTTTCCGGGCTCTCACCGGGGCGACCCTAGGCTCGCTCACGTCCTTCCCACGTAACGCCCTCATTGGCGGAGCCCTGACCCCGCCCACCGCTGGGCTGGGCGAGCTGCTCGAAACCACACCGCCGACCTCCGTGATTGGCGGAGAGGCTCCCGTTAGTGCCCGCCCCCTCTCACCCGTCCCAGTCCCCAGAGGGGCGGAGCCCAACTAAAGTCAAACCCAAGATAAAGCAGCTGACTTTCCCGAACCTGCACTCCCAGGAAAAAGAAACGAAACCAGAGTGTGCAGAGGCACCAAGGGCTCCGCAGAAGGGGTGCGACTTGCATTTCGACCATTGAGGAAGAGAGGGAGGGAGGGAGGGAGGGAGGGAGGGAGGGAGGGAGGGAGGGAGGGAGGGAAGAGCCGATACCATGGGTTCGTGTTACCGGTTTTTAATTTCTACAACCACTTGTACAGATGAACTCACTGCTCCCTCACTAGAAACGTAAAAACCGAGTTTCCAGAAAGAAATGACTGGCAAGTGATGGCAATACTCCAAACCCATCCATCCGTCCATCATCCATCCTCCTTCCCCTTGCCAGAATTTCCCATTTATTTGTTGCTCTGTTACTACCTCTTATATGCCCAGACACCGAAGTTCTTGACCAAAGTTTGGTCCCAGTAAGAGGATGTACTTTCAACTTCTGACACCAAATCAGCCATGGTTGTTTCTTGGAAGTCATTGCCTTCTGGGGTTCCGTCCTTCGTGGTCTCCGGCTGAGGGGTGTTCACCTCTTTCTCACCATAATAATATCGGATCAGCTGCTGCACCCCAGCCTTCATGGCTGGCTTAAGAGCACCACTGATCACCACAGCAGCTGGGCCCCCTGACACACCCATCATGGCCATCAAAAGGTCATAACCCAGATCTATGGCCCCATCTTCGCCTCGCTCCTTGGCCTTGTCAGAGCAGTTCTGAATGGCGTAATACAAAGCTGTGCCTAGGTTGTAGTAGGTCCCCACGGCCGGCAGCAGCCCGACCACATTGTGCACTCTCTGCTCCTGCTCGTTGTCACAGACCGAGTTAGAGATGGAGCGTGGGACCCTCTTTTGACCTGGCTGTTCCCAGGCCAAGAGCTGCAGAGCAGAGGACAGGGCGTCCACCGACACTTGCCGGTCTGCGCGGCGTCCACCTTTCTGGAGCTCTTGGAGATGGTGGATGAGGGCCTGTGTAGCCTCCACACCTCCCAGGCGGTAAAGCTGAAGCTGCAGGCCCCAGACGTCAGCCTGGCAGCCAGCTTCCTCCAGAGCATTCCTCAGAGCCAGGCCTACCAGGAACTGGTGGAGAGGGGGCATCTGAGTGAAGCCAGGCAGGGACTTTGGGAGCAGGCCCCGGCAGGACGAGGGATCTGGAGATGGCAACTGGTATGCCAGCGCCGGCGGAGGGAGCGCCGTAGAGGGACTTGCTGGCTCTCTGTGTGGAATGGCATCCACAGGACACTGCAGCAGACAGCAAAGCAGCTGAGTTGTTATCACCGTGAGTCCGAGGCTACGCATGTCTGGAGCAGAGAACCCTGGAAAAGGGAGAACCCCAAAACATGCAAACCATTTCGCTGAAGGTGATAGCCTTAAAGGAGGCCCAAGATTCCCCCGGCACCCATCACCTACCTCCGACCTTTTGCTCTTTTTAGTAAAGGGGTAGGATATGGGAAACGCAATGCGATTTCACTATGGCCTCTGTCATTTCTAGGTCACAGGAACCTCCCTGTTTTGTCCCCACCACTTATGGGAGACCCGGATTACCATACAGTCCAGTCATGGAGAAGTACAACCACTTGGGTGGGGTTGGTAGCGCCTCTGTTCCACCCGGTTCTCTGTCCCCTGAAGAGAGGAGATATTTGAGGCCCTTGCGTCAGTCCCTAGGGGGCAGATGAGGTTCCCAGTGTTGACATTGGCCAGGGCCTTTGCAAATAAGCAGGGATAGGAAGGTTCAACAGCGAAACCAGCTGCATTAACCAGGACATCGATCGATCTTACCCTCAGGAAGGCCGCCTGGCGCTGATGCAGGATGGATGAGGGCAGAGTATATGCAGGTGCGCTTGGAGCCGGAGGAAATGGTCAGTGGTGCCGTGGTCAGGTGACTGCTGGGCTGTGTCGGTAGGCACCAGGTGGTCCTCAGTTGCACAGGCAGGCACATCTTCACCCATATCCTTTTTTGGTCTTTTTTGTAAAGATCTGTGTTTTGTTTTTAATTTTATGTGTATGAGTGTTTTTCGGGTACGGAACTGGAGTTACAGATGTTTGTAAGCTGCTGTGTGGGTGTTGGAACTGAACCTTGGTTTTGTGCATAGCGGCACGTGCTCTTAACCAATGACCCATCTCTCCAGCCTTTTCACCCATATCATAGAGTCGTGAGTCCAGCGAGGCAGACCACGGTAGTGCACATCTCTGAGTTCCAGGCCTGGTCTACAGAGTAAGTTCCAGGACAGCCAGGGCTACACAAAGAAACCCTGTCCAGAAAAAAAAAAAAAAATACATATTGAGAAAAAAAAAGTTATGGGAGAGCTCCCCTAGTTTGAGGGGAAAGATAGAAGCAGGTAGAATAATCATCCCATTTGCCACGGTCTCTTCATGATCCGATGAGTATCGTTTTTAATCCCACCTTTTCCCTACCGCGACATTAGGAGGCCTGAATGTTATGGTTACAAAAGTGAAGGATCTGGTAGTTACCGATATTTACTGACTCTTCCTGGAGCCGACTCTGTCTCCCTCACCTTTGTCCCATGCTGACAAAGTGGTTTTTCGCCTTCTGATGCCTGTCCCTCCTACCCTATGTCCTGGTCCCAAGGTTTTGCCCTAGACCTAGAGATGAAACGAGAGAGTTTCTTAGCATCTTTCAGAGAAGGTGATATGTCCCTCACTTCTGGCACACCAGAGGACGGCATCCAGGGTCCTATCTCTATTAATTTTTTGTTTGTTTTGTTTCTCTGTGTGTCTCTCGCTGCCCTGGAACTAGGTCTGTGGACCAAGCTACCCTCAAACTCACAGAGATCCTCCTGCTTCTGCTTCCCAAGTGCTGGGATTAAAGGCCTGAGCCATCACTGCCCAGGATACCATTTTTTTTTGGTCATTGAATTGCAGGTTCTATCTAAGACTTAAAAATGGCATAAGCTAGCAACAAAAATGTAGAAGAGTATTTATTTAAAACATTTTATGACTAAAATATTAGTCAAAAAGAACTAGTGGGTCTGGAGAGGTAGCTCTGTGGTTAAGAGTACTGACTGCTCTTCCAGAGGACCTGGGTTCAATTCCCAGCAACCACATGACAGCTCACAAGTGTCTGTAACTCCAGTTCCAGGGGATCTGAAACCCTCACACCAAAAATAAATAAATAAATAAATAAATAAATAAAGGTTGGGCTTGGTGGCACACACCTGATTTCCCAGCACTCAGGGGGCAGAGGCAAGAGGAACCACAGTATGCCCAAGCCTAGACTGGTCAACTTAGAAAGTTCTAGGCTAACCATGGAGGTGACAGAATGAGGCTCTGTCTCAAACAAACAAACAAACAACAACAACAACAAAATCAGAGCTGGCAATTCAGCAAGAGGACCACTAGTTTGAGGCCAGCCTGGACTGCACGAGAGAGAGTATAAAAAGCAAACAAATATACAAACCTGGTAAATTTCCCAATTCTGCTCATGAAAATAACCTTAATTAAACTCAGTTGGTCACAAAAGGAAACAAAACAAAAAAACAAAAAACAAAACAAAACAAAACAAAAAAAAAAACTGGCCATGGTGGTATACATCTTTAATCCCAGTATTTAGGAGTCAGATGTAGTTGGATTTCTGTTCTATATAGTGAGGTCCAGGTCAGCCAGGGCTACCTAGTGAGATCCTGTCTCCAAAAAAAGGAAGGAAGGAAGGAAGGAAGGAAGGAAGGAAGGAAGGAAGGAAGGGCAGTGGTGGCTCACGCCTTTGATCCCAGCACTTGAGAGGCAGAGACAAGTGGATCTCCATGACTTGGAGGCTACCAAGGTCTACGCATTGAATTCTAGGACAGCAAGGGCCATGTAGGTGGACTCTGTCTTGGCTCTCCCCCCAGAAAAAGGACTTGGTTTGCACCATCATCCCTATAATTTTCCTTCTCCCTCCCATCCTCCCCTTCGCCTCCCTCTCCTCTTCCTCCTCTTTTACTCCATTGTTGCAGTAGTCATCTCTGGAGACAAGAGCTTGCTCTGGAGTCCACAGATACTTGCCCTGGTGGTACTGATGCTCCTGCGTTCGAGCATTGCAGGCACACACTGTTTCTATTTCCTGCAGACCATTTTATTATTATTTTCTTTAAATTAAGTTTAATGCTTCCTTTTTGATAAAAAAAAAAAAAAAAAAAAAAAAAAAAAAGCACAATTCCTTGCCTTTAATCCCTCCCAGAACTCAGGAGGCAGAGGCAGGAGGTTCTCAGTGAGTTTGAGGCCAGCCTGGTCTACAGAGTGAGGTCCAGGTTCCAGGACTGTTACATAGAGAAACGCTGTCTTGAAAGAAAAAATTACACAATTCCTAGAAGAAAGAACAAGGAAGAATGTTCACACATGCCATGTCTTCCCCTGAGGAGGTACAGGTTCCAGCCAGAATGATTCTGCAGAAATTCGAGGCCAGTCTGGGCTAGGGTGGAGAATCCATCTCAAAAGCAAAACAAAAAACATAGAACACCTGGGAAAGATTATACCCATAAGCAGTACAAGGAAGGAAGTAATACCAGAGTAGAAATAGAAGGTAGAAAACAATAGATAACAATCAGTGAAACTAAAATGTTACTCTTTAAAAAGTTGAACAAAATCAACACATTGTTATCTGCCTGACCAGGAAGAGAAAGAGAGAATATTCGAAAGACTTAAATCAGGAATGAAAGCAGAGTCATTGTTGCCTATTTTACTAAAATTAAAATTATAAGAGCTGGGCAATGGTGGCATTCACCTTTGATCCCAGCACTCGGGAGGCAGAGGCAGGCAGATCTCTGCGAGTTCAAGGCCAGCCTGGTCTGCAGAGTGAGTTCTAGGACAGCCAGGGCTACATAGAGAAACCCTGTCTCAAAAAAACCCAAATAAACAAAACTTTTAAAAGTAAGGATAACCTCTCTCAGCAGGTCTTTTATTACTCCAGGGCCTACTCAGTCTGGTTGAGAGAAACACATTTATCTACCCAAATCAAAATGTCAATACAAGCTGGGCATTGGTGATGCACACCTTTGATCCCAGCACTCGGGAGGCAGAGGCAGGTGGATCTCTGTGAGTCCGAGGCCAGCCTGGTCTACAGAGCCAGTTCCGGGACAGGCTCCAAAGCTATAGAGAAACCCTGTCTGTGGAAGGGATTTCAGGATGATTTAAGCCACTCCATCAGCTATCAAAGCAGATCCTGGGGTTATTGCTCTAGAGAGCAGCCTCAGATACCAAAGAGGAACAAGGAGCCCAAGTAGATGGATGCAGCCTAAGCCCATCGGCAGAATCTGCCGGACTCTGATTACTGTATTTAAAAAGGACCCTGAGTTCTGGCTCCTCTGAGTCCTATGCCTAGGGCTCTCAAGCTAATAACGGTTGCCTTCTCCCTTTCATTTCTGTCCTGAAACCAGGCAAGGACTTCCTAGTCTCACTTCACCTGGCTGTTGTACAAATGATTCTAGGGTTATTCTGTGTGTGTGTGTGTGTGTGTGTGTGTGTGTGTGTGTGTGTGTGTGTTAAAAACAGGAAGTAAAACTTAGCTAAGCAATCCAAAGAAAAGTAACCAGTTTATCTCTCGGCTAAAATCCAGAAACATTCTTGGGACTCTTAGCAGCCTTATCCCTGCCAGAGGTCAAAGATGCCAACATTGTCGGGGTATGTGTGGGGGCTGGGGAGCTCTGATATCTGATCTGGATCCTAAATGATTCTAGTGTCTCTTTAGTCTCTCTGAGAGGAAACACTTCCTGACCAAGAGACTAGAATTGCAGGCCTTGGTGGGGACCTGACATGGCAGTTGTACCAGATCAATTAATGGCCAAGGGATTCACCTTAAGCCATGCTAAAGAAATAAACCTGTGAAGCTTCAGTCAGTATCACATACACTAAGATTGGAATGGTATGAAGGTTAACATGACCCTTGTGCAAGATGACAGGCAAATTCATGAAGCATCCCATTATTTATATTTGGTTCTGGTGACCCTCTCTCTGTGACATCCGACCAGGCCCTCTTCTGCGTACAGCAGAACGGGGCCAACTATGCTGTCCATATCAACACTCCAGGAATTTGATGTCTGGTACTCAGGAGCCTGGCCAGATGTGGTTGTTGTCTCTTGGGGCAAGATCTGAATGGAAACCAGTAAAAGTCAATGCTAACGGTCTTCTCTGCTGGTGACTGAGACCTTTACCCGAGATGGCTGGTCCCTCGAAGCCTAGAAATGAGGACTAAGGAGGTAGCTAAAGACCTGGGGGTTCCCACCACCCCTCTGTCCGTTAAGTTTACACACCAGCTCACTATTTGGTCAACCAGGGCTATGTTGAGAGACGCTGTCTCAAAACAACAAAAACAACACCTTTAATCCCAGCAGAGGCAGGCGATCTCTGTGAGTTCGAGGCCAGCCTGGTCTACAGAGTGAGTTCCAGAACAGCCTCTTAAAGGCACAGAGAAATCCTGTCTCAAAAAACAAAAACAAAAACCAGAAAGAGAGAGAGAGAGAGAAGAAAAAAGCTGGTGAAACCAGACCCTATTAAAGGGGAAAACAGCAGGCACCACTTCGGTTAGAATAACAAGCAAGGTTACTTCCTCTCCTGGTGTTCTGCTTTCGTGAGCACAGTGCCTGCCCTTCAGAAGCTCGGCCTTGTCAAGACACCTGGACTGAAATGGTGGTCTCTTTCTTTGTGATTCCAAGCTTGTTTCTGAGAGTTCACAGAAACACATGCAGACTAAATACTCATAAGGTTTTTTTGTTTTGTTTTGTTTCAAAACAGAGTTTCTTTTTGTCTTGGCTGTACTGGAACTCACTCTGTACACCAGGCTGGCCTCAAACTCACAGAGATCCAACTGCCTTTGCCTCCCAAATGCTGGGATCAAAGGCGTGTGCCATAACCCAGCAAAAATCATATTATTTTTGAGACAAGTAAAACTACCCAAGTAAGACCAGGCTGGCTGGTCAGCTGGGCCTCAGAGACCTATCTCTTTTACCTCTCTAGTGCTGGCGTTACAGGTGTTAGCCACCATACCTAGTATTAAGTGTAGGTTCTGGGAATTGAACTCAAATCCTTAGACTTGCAAGGCAAACATTCTGCTAACCTTTGGTTATCTGTCTGAGACAAGATCTTATGCAGACCGGGCTAGCTTTAACTCCTGATGATATGTCTGCATGTATGTCTGTTTGAGGGTGTCAGATCCCCTTGAACAAGAGTTACAGACAAGCCAGGCGGTGGTGGCGCACACCTTTAATACCAGCACTCTGAAGGCAAAGACAGGCGGATCTCTGTGAGTTCCAGGACAGGGTCCAAAACTACAAAGAAACTCTGTCTCAAAGAACAAAAAGATGTGTATTTGGGGCTGTCAAGATGGCTCAGCAAGTAAAGGTAATTGCCACACAAACTTGGCAATTTGATTTTGATCCCTGGAGTCCACATAACAGTGGGAGAGAAACAACTCCACAAAATGGTCCACCACATAGGTGCCACAGCACACATCCACACATCATCATGTACACAATAGCTGTGTAAACTGACAAAATGCCCCTCCATGGCATGAGTAGGGGAAGATTTTGTTTTATTTTATTTTATTTTATTTTGAGTCAGGTTTCTCTGCGTAGCCTTGGCTGTCCTGGAACTCACTTTGTAGACCAGCTTGGCCTTGAACTCAGAGATTCACTTGCCTCTGTCTGCAGCACGGAGAAGGCTTTTTATTGTAGACAGGAGAGACAGAACTGTTAGAGGCTTCTAGAAGAGTCCATACCAGGCAGAGAAAGAAGTAGACTGATCATGGCCAGCAGAGTGGCTTTGGTTATGAGACGGGAGAGTGGCCCAGAGTTGGAGAGTAGGAAAACAGCAGGGTTATAGGGGGCTGCAGGAGTCTAGGGTAGGGGAGGAGGGGAAAGGGCCAGGATGCCAGCGTGGACTCTGAAATGTGTCCTAGGGGAGCCTGGGAGCCAGCTTGTGTTTTGGTAAGCTGACAGGCACCACAGGTGGCCCTATGTCCCTTCTGCCAGTGCAGGGAAATGGCTCCTTTTAGTAGAGGGGAACCAGTTTCACAAGTTCCTGAGGAATTCTGGCTTTTATGTAACTGCCAGAAGTCCTCCTATAACCAGGTTGAGCCCATTTCCGGATATTTGGACTACCTTTTGTAGTTTAGTTTGGGGAATTGGAATTTCCTTTGGACTTGACAATAACAATAAATAATAATAAATATATTTAAAAGATGGTCATATATATGTGTGTATATATATGAAATGTATATGTATACATACATACATTCATACATACATTCATATATATATTTGTCTATGTATGCATATTCAAGACAGGTTCTTGCACATAGTCCAGCAGCCCAGGCAGGCCTCAGATTTCTTGGTGCTGGGACTACAGATGTATGCTATGACACTTGGTAAACTCTGCAATGATGTTTAGAAAATAAACTAAAAACAGGAAGTGAAAACAAGTTTAATTATAAGAGTTTTTCTTAGAATGAAGAAGTAAAATTTCAGACTGTATAGATTTACAAGATCTGAAACAGATTAAACACACACTCACACACATGTGCACACACAAATACACTCATACACACACAAGCCTGGCAGCCCCCAAACCCCACTGTGGTTTAAACAGCACAGATTTATTTCCTCACGCTTTTTTTGAGGTTAGCACAACATCAAAGGATCAGCAGACATAGTCTTTACCCTCCCCACAACGTGTGCCGCCCTGGCTGGGTGAGGAATGTGAGGACAGGAGCTGGCGTAAAGACCCCCAGAAATGAGGAAACAAGGGACCACATCTCAATCTGGGGTCTGTAAGAAATGGCTATACAGACAGACAGCAGGCGGCACTGAGGGCAGACCAGAGGAGGCTGAACTGCACCAGAACGTGCTGTATGGACAACAGGTCTCGCGCTGCTTCCCTCGGGCTGCAGCCTGAAGAGCCAATGCGTTTACAGAGCAGGAGTGTGGGTGAATGACCCTAAGGCACAGATGATGGCCGCCCCACCGCTGCTGAGCTGGGCTCCTTCCTCCAGTTGATACATGCTAGTCCCTCCCTGAGGCCGCGAACAATTAGGGCAGAGTTGCCTGTAATTGACTGGGAGAAGTGGCTGGATACTCATGAGGACCCATGAGCTTCTGCCCCTCCCTCTATGAGGAGAGGTCAAAAGCCAGCAAGCCCAGCGGTGGTGTATTTTGCAAGCAGGCCCCATCGAACCAAAGAGGACGGCAGTAGTTTGGCTCAGAAGATACTCTGGTACATCTCAACCTCTCTTTTTGTCTTTGTCAGTTGGGCTCAAGAAATGAGAAGCAGGCCGGGCGATGCCCACCAGAACCGGAAGGAACTGGAGTTTAAACAGTGAACTACCCCGCAGGTGCTGGGAATCAAACCCAGGTCCTTTGGAAGAGCCATCTCTTCAGCTCCCATAAATATTTTTTTTAAAAAGAAGTCTAGTTAGAGTGGGAAGAGGAGTGGCTATATTAATACAGAAGGGTAGCAAACCCTTTTTTTTCTCTCTTTGAATCAGGACTTGCCTCAAACTTCCTGTGTCAAGGCTGGCCTTCAACTCCTGATCATCCTGCCTCCCATCTCCCAAACGCTAGGGTTACAGATGTAAACCACCATCCCTAGTTAAAGAGTAGACTAAAGAAAAGACTAGTGATGTCGTTTGAGAAACAGACTGGTATGTTATAAAGTAGGTATTTGGTTTCCAATCCATTTTCTAATACTTGTTTTAAAACCCTTATATTCTGCTGAGTGAGGCATGCTAAAATGACTGGTGCCAGTTGTCAAGGGAACCAACCACGTGTTGAGAGGGCGAAAACTCTCAATCTGACCACCCAACCGCAAGGGGGTAAGGGGCCAGCTTCGATAAAGCAGTGGTCAATGACTGTAATCCATCACACTTATGTCATGGATTTCATACCTCCCCCTGAAGGTCAGGGTTCCAAGGGCAGCTGTTCCGATGAACAGCCCCATCATGATGCGAGAGGACAGATAGTATTTTTTAGGGTAAAGGAAAGTGCTTGGCTCAGAACCAAGAGATGCCAAGACTGGTCAGAGCCAGAAGGCACCAAAGCCCTTGGAAACGTCACTTTTTTTTTTTCCCCCTCCTTTTCTTGAGACAGGGTTTCTTCTGTGTAGTCCTGGCTGTCCTGGAACTTGTTCTGTAGACCAGGCTGGTCTCTCAGAGATCTGCCTGCCTTCCAGGACTAAAGGCGTGCGCCACCATTGCCTGTAGAGCCCTTGTATCTTAACAAGCCATGTCTGAATCTTACCTTCAGCTTGGTTCCACTGGAAGACAGGGGCAGGAAGCTGGCTTCGAAGGCTAAGCACAGGGCCTTTGTTCGTGTGGCTCATCACCCAGGACTGTCCTGCCGTCGTATGTCCTGTCCTTTGCCTGATGCTGACAAACTGGTTTAAACCCTGTAGCTTCTGCTTCCCCAGTGCACAAACGTTAAGATCCATTCTCAGGCCGGAGAGAAGCCTCGTGGGTATTAGGACCCCAGGTCAGTACTGTCTTAATCAGGGTTTTTATTCCTATGAAGAGACACCATGACCCTGGCAACTTTCATGAAGAAAAACATTTATTTAATTGGTGGCTCAGTTTCAGAGGTTTAGTCCATTGGCATCATGGTGGCCCTCAGGCAAACATGGTGCTGGAGAGGGAGTTAGGATTCCTGTATCTTCAGGACAACAGGAAGTGATCTATCTCACTGGGCGTGGCTTGACCTCAAAGCCCACCTCCACAGTGACACACTTCCTCCAAGTCCATACTGCACCTCCTAACAGTGCCATTCCCTTTGGAGGCCATTTTCTTTCACACCACCACCCAGCACCCACACCAGTAGTCCACAACTGCCCACGACTCCAGCTCCAAAGGGTCCAGGGCCCTCATTTGGCCTCTTAGGTGCCCACACAGAAATCTCTCATACTTACACATACATACATATGAATCTTTTTAAAAGATTTATTGTGTATACCGTGTTCTGCCTGCATAGAGGGCGCCAGATCTCATTACAGATGGTTGTGAGCCACCATGTGGTTCGTGGGAATTGAACTCATGACCTCTGGAAGAGCAGCCAGTGCTCTTAATCTCTGAGCCATCGCTCTATCCCCTGAAATAAATTTTTGAAGATGTATTCTCAGTGTTTGATTTGTTTGCTGTTGTTTTTATTTATTTATTTTTCAAGACAGAGTTTCTCTGTGGTGTTGGAGCCTCCTGAGTGCTGGGGTTAAAGGTGTGCGCCACTATCGCCCTTATTTTTTAAGGTACTTTCACTAGTTTGTTCAGGATGACCTCAAATTCAAGATCTTATCCCAGCCTCATGAGGAGCTGAACCAACAGGCTGCACGCATCCTGTGGCCAGCAAGACGAAGCTTCCTGGGAAGGGCAGAAGAAAAGAGAAGCCTCTCTTTTTAAAATGACATTTATTGGGCCTGGCATGGTGGTACACCCCCCTTTTCCCTCTCTTTGTGGTAATCTGAAATGACTGTAACTCTAACTCTTAAAGTTCTTCCAAAGACAACAGATGGCTGGCTGCTGAACTCAGCCACAAGAAATATCAAGATCAGCAACTTTTTTTTTTCCAAGACAGGGTTTCTCTGTAGCTTTGGAGCCTGTCCTGGCAGTCCCTCTGTAGACCAGGCTGGCCTGGAACTCACAAAGATCCGCCTGCCTCTGCCTCCTGAATGCTGGGATTAAAGGTGTGCGCCACCACCGCCCTCGGCAGCTTTTAATTTCATGTTTACTATGAAACACAAATCAAGGTTTGTCAACTTGAGAGCAGTGCATCCCAACACTGCAGGAATGGACTCATGTGTGTCTTGGGGTCAATCACTGGAAAGACGAGAGAACCCCAGTGCCTTCCAAAGGCGATGCGCACCCCCCATGTACTTATGAAGCCCCGTGCCTGAGGTTGAGACCACGTCCCGCAGGCAGCCACAGAGAGGGGTGCGGGCTGCTCTGTGTGTTTCATTTACTTGTCTTGTTTAAGAGACGGTTCCAGAGATCAGCGGTTCGCACTGATGAAACTGGGGTAGGGCTGACTGCGGAGTCTGTCTGTCCGTCCGTCCGACACTGCTGTAAGACCCCTGGGCCGTCAGTGTAGGGAAGGCGTCAGTGTAAGCACAGCAGCTGTGGCGCCTTTCACCTGCACCCGTGTCCAGCACGAGGCCCAGGCTTCTCAGTCATCGTCGTCGTCCTGTATTTGAAACCGTTTCTTCTTGTGGATTACTGGAGTTCCCAGCTCTGGTGCTACGGGAGACAGACGAGAGGCAGGAAGAGAAGACGTCTAAGTATGTCAAAGGGTAAGGCGAAGGGCAGAGTGTCTTCAGAGTGAAGACAGCAGGGCAGTCGGGGCCTACCTTGTCCCCTCCCCTCATTCTCTTCCTCGCTGTCCAGCAGTCCTCGCTTCTTGGACACTATTTTGCTTTCTTTCTCCCCAGTGGTCTCCTCCTCAGAGCTGACTGTAAAACACAAACTTAAGGAACTAGGGCTCCCTCATCTCAAAACGCCCTGCCAGCCCTCACACCCCCGCAAGTCAGCAAGGGGTGAGCAGTGACACTTTACCTTCTGGAGACACCTGGCCTGCTTTTTTCTTGCGGGCTGACAAGAAGGCTCTCAGGGCCTTGGCTCGGTTCTCCTCACTGGGACGATGCTCCTCACTGGCTCGGTGCTCCTCACTGGGACTGTGCTCCCCAGGGGTTCCTGGATGTAGCTCTAGTTCCTCTTCCCTTTCCTCCTCTTTTTCTTGTTGATTCAAAGAAGCTGCCAATCTCCTAAGCTGGGTGGAGCTCAACTTGGCTGGAATTCGCCAGAAGGTTTCCTACAGGGGCACAGCATGAGGACCAGCCTCTCAGGACACTAGATTTTTTTTCTATTATTCATTGAATAAATATGAATAAACTGAATAAATATGAATAAACTCTCCGGTAAGATGAGACCACGTGGAAGTACTTAGATATAGAAATGGGCTAATATTTAAGACAGAGCTAGCCGATAAGAAACAAGTAACTGGCCAACAGCTTTATATCTAATATAGAGTCTCTGTGTGTTATTGGGGGCTGGTGCGGCAGTGGGCCCAGGTCGGCAGGAAAAACATACTCTTAACAAAATATAAAATAATAAAGTTGAATAAACATATAGAGAATGATCTACAGGAGTTGTAAACTTGACTTCTTACTCACAACAGACACCCAGTGTCTAGCTCAGGACCTCCTTCAGGGTCCCAGTACACACAGCTGTTAACAGCAAACGTAGGAACCAGACGGGAGCCACGCCCAGAATCAGCGGGAGAAAAGCAAGGTGCAATAGCGCTTCCGGACTGGACACCAGAGTGATAACGTTTGGCTCAGGGGTTGGACAGGCAGTAAGACTGCTTCTCTGAGGGGGAGTGGGTGTGCGTGGGGCGCGCGCGTGTGTGTGCATGTGTGTGCGTGTGCGCACGCGTGTGTGCATTGTGTGCGTGTGTGCGAGCCTGTGTGCGCGTGTGTGTGTGATGGCCATGAGGAGATAGGCATGCCAGCCGGAGGCTGTGAGCACACAGAACCATCAAGTACCCCAGACAGAGAAGACATGGAGACGGGACATGGCTTGGGGAAGGGAGCATGGAGAGAGAGACAGCAAGAGACCGGATGCAGGGGCCCTGGAGAGTAAAGAGAAGGCAGCAAGGGGGCGGGGCACACCCAGGTGTGTTCCCACAGAGCCAGAAACACCAGACACCACACCAGCTCACGCTGCCTGCCCGGAGGTGGGGCCCGCACCCCTAGCTTGCTGACACAGTCCTGCGCTAACACTTGCCTGCCCCAGGGTGGGGGGTCGGATCCCTAGCTTGCGTAGAAGATGCTGGAACTGTCCATTCTCCATGGCTTCCTCGTTGTCTTCTGTCAGAGGCACCAAAGGGATTGCCTGGGCGCAGCCTGGAACAGTGTGCCACAGCACACGGTGAGGACATGAAAAAGGACGGCCCTGCCACACTGGCCCCGCCACACTGGCCCCGCAGCCCTGGTGTTCCAACGCGCTTACCACCCTCTTGCCGATCGTCTGCTGCACGGATCAGGCAGTTCTGGAGCCACAGGAGTGGAGCAGAGAGGCCTGAGTGAAGAAGGGAAATTGGCAGTGGGCCCCTTCCAAACCCTCCACCGCTGACATCTCTCCCAAGCGAAGGCCTCACCTTCCTGATGCAGGCTTTGACCAAGGTTCCCAGCAGAGAGAAATGAGCTGCCCGGCACGGGTCCTGCCTCCAAGTCTTCCTCTTCCTCTTCCTCACTGTCTTCCTCTGGCAAGTGATCTTCTTCCTCTCCCGGATCTTCCGGCCAAGAATCCTTCAGGGCCTCGTCTCCATTTAGCTAAAATTGATAGGAGACAAAGGAATGGGGGAAAAGGCCGGAGGGCCTCAGGGGGGCCTCAGTGAGGCTTTGCCCCCTCTCTGCCACCGAAGGACCTGAACAGCAGGGAAGTGCTCTGTGAGGGGAGGCCCAGGCCAGAAGAGCCAGGGTGAGATGGTTACCGTGCAAGAGGGCACCAATTTCCTTCGCCGTTTCTTGTACAGTTGCCGCCGCTCAGCCACCAACCCTAGGGCTAGCAATTTATCCACTATCCGAGCCCGAGAACGCTTGGCTGTGATATTCTTCATGATATGTCCGAGAACATCTTCAGAGAGAGAGAGAGAGAGAGAGAGAGAGAGAGAGAGATCGCCCACTCAGATACTCTAGAACAACCGGAAAGGAGTAACAGAAATCAAAGGCCAGCTCGGCTCACTCCAAGTGAGGCAGCCAGTGCCTTACTCACCATCAGAATCCTGGAACTCCTCAAAGAGCCGCTGTAGTTCCAGCTCCTGATCCTCTGTCCACAAGACGATCTGGGTCCCTTTCCTATTCAGGCAGGCGTCAGTGCCGGGGAGGCCTCAGGCACTCACGCGCACACTCACACACGTACACACGCGCGCGCGCACACACACACATACCACCCCCGCCCTTGTTCCCTCCAGAGCAAGCGCCTCCTTGCCTTTGGAAGTCCTTGACGCTGTCAGCCAGTCCCATGCGCACCAGATGGTGGATGACCTGCCTGCGTGTCCGAGGAACAGTTTTCAGGTGCGCAAGGATGGTTCCCACTACATCCTGGCCTGTGTGGGAGAAGGAAGGGGGCAGTATGCAGGAGTCCGAGGCCCAGGCTGCCCCCCTCACAGCCTCTCCAGACCTCAAAGCCTCACACCTTCCACATCCTTATGGGCGAGGTACAGTTCCTGGAGCTGGGCCTCTTCCTCGGGGCTCCACGCAGCGGCTCTGTGACCTGAAGACCTGAATAGTGAAAAAGGTGCACGGAGGCCACTGGTTTGGAGAGACAAGGCCAGAGCTAGCTCTACCTCATCAGTTCAGAACAAAGGACGAAGCAGGTAAAGTCAAAGGAGCCGAGGGCAGAGGCCTGAAACACACGCTTCCCTTTGCTCCTGCCATTACGGATGTACAGAACCGGACAGCCTAGGACTAAGATCCCAACGGGAAGAGTGGGGGGAGAGGAGACAGAGGACGGCATTCCTGTGAAGCCTGCCTTCTGTTAGACCAGGTCTCATGGGACCCAGGGTGGCCCCAGGGGGACCTGAACTCTCATCTTTCTGTCCCAGTCTCCTAAGAGCTGGGGTCAGACGTGGGTCACCGCACCGGGCTTGACTCCCAGCACACACAGACTCGCTGGGAACTACCCCACTGCCATCAGTGGCCACCTCTGTGAAGGCCGGTGACAGAGACAGAAACTAAAGTGGCAGGAGACCTAGGTCCATCTTCTTCCTGTCTTGGGCAACCTCAGGAAGAACATTTCACCTTATGGGCCTCTTCCCTCCCTTCTGAAAGGAGAAGAAACGTTAGAGCAAATGATGTGGACGGCCCCGTGATACACCACCGTCCTCTGTTCCCCAGATGATGCGGACGGCCCTGTGATACACCACCACCCTCCATTCCCCAGATGATGTGGACGGCCCTGTAATGCACCACCGTCCTCCGCTCCCCAGCCATCAGCTCACCCACTGTCGAGGGAGCCGTATCCCTGAGTCATCTCACGGACAACTGCAGTGTTCTTCCAGAACAGCAGCTCCACAAAAGCTTTTTGGTTGACTGCAGCCAATGCGAAGAACTTGCCAAGGATGTATTTGGCAAAAGTCACCAGCTCCTGAAGAGAAAAGCTACCATGGCACCTCAGTCCAAATGAATTTGCACACCTGCCCCGTTCCACGGCCGGTTGCCAGCTTGGCTCTACCTTCTCGCTGCCTCTCTGCCACCCTCCGGCAGCTTCCTCAGTGCTGATTTCTTTACACCGCTCACCTCTCTGCCCTCAATACCTCAGTCCTCTTTCCTCTCGAGAGCCGCCCCGCGCCCCAATGCTTCCCACCCCTGGGCAGCCTCTCACTTTGTAGGCCCTGGCAGCCGGGTCACTCAGCAGCTGGTTAAAGACGCAGAACAAGGACAGCTGGAAAAGCAGGGCTTCCATCCCCAGGTCGTGGGCCAGCCGGTGCAGCATCTTGGCGACACAGTGGTTGGTGTGAGCACTGTTCTGCCGGTAGCTCCGCAGCAGAAGCACATAGGCCCGCACAACGGTTGAGCACGCAAAGCTGTGCCAGGACACGGAGGGAAATTACTCAGCATCAGACAGCCCCGCTCAGTCTCACGGGGCCCAGTCAGTCCCCTAGGCCCGCACCGTCTCAAGTAGTCCAGAAAGTTAAACTCCTTCTCTGACACCTGCACCACCTGCAACTCCTCCTCCTCTTCCTCCTCCTCCTCTTCCTCGGCCTCTCCTTCTACCGGGTCCTGCTGCCCTGTACAGACAGAGGATTGCTGGGTTCCTGCCATGCTGGTGAGGAGCACAGCTGGTTAGAGATGGGAAAGAATGACTCACTCGGAAGGGAGGCAAGAAGGATTTGTTTCAGCAACTGGATTTCCTCCCCTGGGGATGTGACCGGACAGCCAAACACGTTTCCCTCAGGCCACACCTCCCTGGAGACAGAAGTGGAATTGCGGTTAGGACTGGTAGGGGAAATTTGTGTCAGTTGAAACGAGAAGGTAAGCTGCTACCTCAGCGATGCCACAGGCTGGGAGTCATATAGCTCTTGCGCAGGACCTGGGTTTGATTCCCAGCACCCACATAGCAGCTCACAACCATCTGAAACCCCAGGTCCAGAGGGTCTGAAATCCTCTTCTGGATTCCACAGGCAGACAGGAACGTATGTGGCGCACATATGTACATTCAGGCAAAATGCTCACACTCATAAAATAAGTCTACTGTACATACACAGAGAGAAGGAAAAACCACTCACTCAAACGAGGAGTGCAGGGTCTCATGCCTGTAGGGGTTACAGAATAGACACTGAAAGGTCACACATCAACGTGTTAGCTTAGCTAGCCATGGTCAAGCTTGGCTGGCAGAATTGTATTTATTTTCTTCCTCTGTGAACTGTGTTTACTGATACTTCTAAAAACAAAAAGCTCCCACTAGCCCATCAAAGTCTAGGAAGCCAGTGTTGAGTAGAGCTCCACAGCCTCTGTTGAGACACTTCTCTCTGAGACCAGAGAATGCTGGACCCCAGCAAACACCTCCCATTCCCTCGGAGCCCAGGGGGATGGGCAGGCAGGCTTCTTACCGGGCAGACCGCAGGAGTGCCAGGGCTTGTGGAGCGTGGCCAGCCAGAAGGCCGTCTTGGATCCTCACCATGGCTTCTACCCGCTGCTCTTCCACTGGTACCTCTGAGGCCGCGTCAAAGGGGACGATGGCGTCTGTGCTGAGCTCAGGGTCCTGCAGACAGACACAGCCATGGGAGCAGAGCGGGAGGAAACCTACACGTCCGTAGGAGCCCTGTCCTCAAGACCTACCTGGGCACACCGCACCAGCTCGTCTTCTAGGACTGGCCACAGGGCCTCCAGCTCACCAGGGCTACGGGAGGCATTACCAGAAGCCGCATCTTGGTCCTGAACCTTCTTCTTCTTCTTTCTCTTTTTTCTTTTGTTCTAAGGGGAAAGAACTGTACAGTAATTGCAGAAGAGCCAAAGAAGTATCTGTCCCTCAGTGTTAGTGAAGTGGAATGCAGGCAGAGGACACGGGACAGCAGTGGACACTATCTCCTTGTCCTCCAGAAGAAACAGGCAAGTCAAGAGAAAATGCCATTGGAGCGGAGGAGCTATGATGACGATGAGCATAAAATGCCTATTTCTTGGAGTAAGAGTTTGCCAAAGATGGCAATGTCTTTCTTTTTATTAAAAACAAAACAAAACAACAACAACAACAAAAAAAAACAAAACACACACAATTATTTTATTTTGTGTGTTCATGGGGATGTGTGTGTGGAGAACAGAGAAAAACTTGTTTGAGTCAATTCTCCACTCCAACCATGTGGGTCCTGACCGTCAAACTCCATCTGTCAGGCTTGGTGCCAAGTGGCCCTTTGCCCACTGGGCCATCTTGTCAGCTTAGAAATACTGAAGAATTGTGCAGAGCATTGAGAGCTGAGTCAGCACAAGGGTCAATACAAGTGCAGAGCCTTTTTGAAAGGCAAAGCAGGGCCAGCAGGACAGCAGAGGGTAAAGGTGCTTCCAGTCAGTCAGACTCAGTGGTGGGAGAGAACGCATTCTACAAGCTGTCCTTAGACATCCACCTATGTGCCATGGCACACCCAGATGCGCGCGCATGCACACACACGCTCACACACACACACACACACGCGCGCTCTCTCTCTCTCACACACGCACACACATATACACACACACACACAGAGAGAGAGAGAGAGAGAGAGAGAGAGAGAGAGAGAGAGAGAGAGAGAGAAATAAATGTAAAAGACAAAACATACATAAAGAAAGCCTGGAACTTTTTCCTTTGGAAAAAAATCAGGAGTGGTGCCGCACACCTTTAATCCCGAGCACTCGGGAGGCAGAGGCAGGCAGATCTCTGTGAGCTTGAGACCAACCTGGTCTACAGAGTGAGCTCCAGGACAGCCTCCAAAGCTACACAGAGAAACCCTGTCTCGAGGAAGGAAAAAAAAAAAAAAAAAAAAAAGAAAAAAAAGAAAAGAAAAGAAAAAGGAGTGTGAATCAACACCTGAATTTTGCAATTTGCTCTTGAAAATCACGGCTATGAGGCAGCCTGCTGCCTGGGTAAGATGAAAGTCGGGAAGCTGGGCCAGCACTTGAGGCAGAGAGGCAGAGGCAGAGAGGCAGAGGCAGGCAGATCTCTGTGAGTTTGAAGTCAGGCTGGTCTACAGAGTGAGTACTAGGTTAGCCAAGGCTACATGGTGAGACTCTGTCTCCACCCAAAAAAGTCAAACAGGATGGGCAGATGGATGGGGATCCCTGGGGATCATGCTTGATTCTAGGACCTAATAATCAAAGGCAGGAGGAGCAAGGGCTCTGGGATCCAGGAGGCCAGGATGTGAACATGGATGCCAGGGAGACCAGGCTGAGCCATCTTAACTGCTTTGTGCATCTCTCCTAATGCTCTAATGCTGAGTACATGAGACCTTAGGCACAACAACACAAATGACCTTTAGCATAGTACCTGACATACAAGTAAACACTGGGGAAAGGCCACATAAGCAATGACCACAAAGTCCCGAGGGTAACCTTCTTTTGTGCCTTTCAAGTGTAGCTCTGACAGGATTTATTTATGTGTTTGTGTGCTTTCCCCGCATGTGTGTATGTGCACCACCCATGTGTGCAGTACCTGCAGAGGCCAGAAGAGGTCATTAGTAACCCCAGGAACTAGACTTATAGACAGCTGTGAGCGTCTATGTGTCCTGGAACTGAACCTGGGTAACCTGAAAGCCCCTTTCCAGCCTCAATCTCTCTCTCTCTCCCTCTCTCTCTCCCTCCCTCCCTCTCTCCCTGCTTTGTTTCCCAAGACAGGGCTTCTCTGTAGCTTTGGGGCCTGTCCTGCCACTCACTCTATAGACCAGGCTGGCCTTGAACTCACAAAGCTCCACCCGCCTCTGCCCCACCCCCAGCCCCAATGCTGGGACTAAAGGCGTGTGCTAACACCGCCTGGCCAGACTTCTTTATGTTTATGTGTATGAGTGTTTTGCTATCTCATATATGTATGCATGAATACACACACACACACACACACACACACACACACACACACACCCGCTGTCCCTGTAGGCGCTGGATTCCCTGAAGTACAGGTGGTTGTGGCCATGTGGGTGCTGCCATGTGGGTGGTGAGAACCAAGCCTGGGTCTTCTATAATGACTGCTCGTAATCGCTGAACCACAGCTCTACTTCAGTTCTAATATTACCATTTATTTTTTATTATTTTATGTTCACTGGTGTTTGTTTTACCCTCTGTGTGAGGGTGTCAAAAGCCCTGGAACTGGAGTTGCAAACAGTTGTGAGCTGCCATGTGGTTGCTGGGAATTGAACCTACGTCCTCTGGAAGAGCAGGCAGTGCTCTCAAGCACTGAAGCCATCACTTTATGTGTGTGTGAGAGACAGTGAGATAGAAGTAAGGAAGTCAGAGATACCTTGGGGAAATATTATCCTCTCTCTCTCTCTCTCTCCTTGGTTTTCTCCTTCTCGTATGTGAGTCTTGGCATGCTAACTCAGGGTACCAGGCTTACCAGTAAGTGCCTTTACCTGCTGAGCAATCCTGCCAGACCCATAAAAAAAGTTCTTGAAAAAACACGTTTTTACAAAGCCAAATCTCTGTGTCTCTAAGGTAAAAATTTGTTGGAGTTCTCTCCTTGACCTTTTGTCTTTGTCTTTTCATCTACTACCCAATTTTGGACACAATCTCAACTTTGGAACCCGGAGACTGACATGAAGTATTTGAGTATCCTAACTGTAATTAATAGGGGACTAGCCTGACCTACTTACGTTTACGTGTGTGTGTGTGTGTGTGTGTGTGTGTACATCTATAGTGTATGTGAATCTGTATGTATGAATGCATGGCAGAGGTTGGTGTGTTTTTCACAACACCTTCTACCTTCCCCTTTGAGGCAGATTAAAGATAAACCTAACAGGCAACTCCACAGTGACAAAACCACAGCCTTTAGCTCAGAATAGTTCTAGCAGGTGATCGAGGAACCCTGTCCTTCACCCTCCCCACAGATCTTCCCACACCTGGAGCTGCCCCGTACCTGCACCATCAGGTTCCCACGGCTCCGACAAAACCGCTCCAACATTTTGAGGAACAGGTGGGTGGTTTCCACCAGGTCACGAAGGAATGACCGTGGGTGGTATCTCTCATCGAACTTTCGGAAGAGTGCCAGGAAGAGCTCTCGGTACTCCATCATATAGAAAATGTTGTCTAGGAGTGGAAACGAGAAAGGAATGAAAGGGCTTGGAAAAGGAGAGATGGAGGATGGAGTTAGGACAAGAAATGGGAAGGCCGGGATCAGAGACCAGGCCAGGACCTCACTTTTGATGATGCGACTGCTCTCTCTCACAGCCTCATCTGGGCAAATGTCCATCTCATTCACTGTGGCCAGCAGCTCCTGGTAGGCTTTCAGAGCCAGGTGCATCCTAACAGAGTGGAGGGCAACCGGTAAAACGAGCGCACCAGGCAAAACCGAGGGCAACTTAAGGCTTTGGCAAATGTCAATGTCAAGCCCCTCCCCAAGAGTGTCTCTAAAATGAGAAGAACCCACCAGTTCTTGCAGCAGACTGACCACCTCAACCGTGAAATAGGATAAATGATTATCCACGATTCTGGTGGTCAGACTCACAGTAGGCTAAGCTGCCCACTGTGACCCCAGTGGCCTCCCCACTGACCGGCGTGCCCAGGAGGCGGCCTCCTTGCGGTCAGTCAGCATCATCTCATAGTAGTTGGTGAGGTTCTGCTCCACAAAGTGGAAGGTACGGACACTGAGGGTCTCAGACACAAAGCCCGGGCGGAAGGAGGCTGCTCGGTTGAAGGCCATAAAGAAAGCCAGGGCCCACATGTAGTACGTCTCATCGTGCTGCTGGGCTCTCTCCCGAAGCAGGTGATCCTACCGAAGAGACCGCTGTGACCTCAGGGCTTCTAACTGCCTTCCAGACGCTCTTGCCTGAGACAGCGATGTAAGATTTCCTAGAATCTACAGTTTCCAGTTTCCTCAGGTCTGTTCATAGTCTTCTCCCTTTTCTCTGGGGATATTGCTCCAGAGCCTCCTTTTTAAAAAGGTTCATTTTATTTTTTAATTAGTATGTCTCTTTGTGCGTGTGTACATACGGGTGTCCATGTCCCCGGAAGGCAGAAAAGGACTTCAGACCTTCTGAACTGTAGCTCCTGGCAACATCAAGCAACCTGATCTGGGCTCAAACTCTCTGCAGGAGCAGCAAGTGTTCTTAGCTGATGAACTATCCAGGCCCACCCAGAACTCTGTTTTTTTATAGTCATGCCAATAATCACCCATTTCTGAGACTCCGTTCCGTCAGGGGGTCCTCTGCCTCTGCAGCCCTCTCAAGTCCAGCCTCCCTTGGGCCCCTGGGACAGGGTGTCCTTGCCAACCGCTGGCCACATTACTCTCCGCTCTATCCCTAATTACCTGGCTGTCCTTCCTGGGCTCTCACCTTGACGGCACCCATGAGCGGGTTGTAACAGTTCTCCAGGAACTCAGAGCAGAAGTCCCTGAGGAAGAGCCTCACGTTGAGGGCAGAGCGGCGGTGAGTAGATAGCTCCTGGGCAGCCTGGCGACGCTTCGGCACCCTCCGGGGCTGCTTCCCCAGATCTGAGCTGTAGTTTCGGAGCTGAGGGCATGGGTTGAGGCATCAGAGTAAGTCCTGATTACGCCGCCCCTCGCAGTTCTTTTATAGTCCCTGTCCCGAAATTTTCACATAAGAGATGCCTACAAAGATCTCCGCCTCTGGCCCTGGTGATGCATCGGTGGTCACAACACCACACCAGACAACTTCCTGTTTCTTCCTTCCTTTCTTTTTTTTTTTTTCCCCCAGACAAGGTTTCCCTGTCCTGGAACTCACTGTGTAGACCAGGCTGGCCTCGAACTCAGAGACCCGCCTGCCTCTGCCTCCCGAATGCTGGGATCAAAGGCATGCACCACCAACTCCCAGCTTGTCACCAAGTTTCTGAGCCTAAGAACAGAACCCCTCTCAGATTCTGCAACTCCCATGTTTCTGTCTTGTCATATGCACTCACATTGTGAAGGCCTTTGTGAAAGATGACGTCCCTCTCCCCAATGGACTTCAACCCCTGGACAATGTAGGAGCCCCCAAATCGAGAATGCCTTCAAGGAAAACAAAAGTTCCAAAATGACTCCTCGGTTCTCTCAGAGCGTTAGGCAGCTCTCCTGTCAGTAGCTCTGTGAGAGTTTCAAAACATTTTCCAGCCTCAAATTGTGGAACTGTGCGTGCTGGCTGTTTGCTGCTGTGACTCGGGGACACAGCAGGGCGCCCGGCCACCCACCTGTTGCCTCGCTGCAGGGTCCTACTTCTCTTCTCCGCCATCTCCCGCTGGCGCAGAACCGCCAGCTCCGCCACATCCGCACTTCGCTCCTGAGCCAAGCGGCCCTGCCCTACTCCCGCTAGCTGCTCAGGTTTCTGGGTTTGGAACAAGAAAGGAAGGATCAGAACCAGGGTCCTTAGCCCTCGTGTCTAAGCCTTAGTTCACCCCTACTGGGGACCGTAGACACACAGGAGTGTTGATGGCCTCGTACAGAAGACAGAGCCACCGCACACACCACCTGCTTCCCCAGTGACTCCCCATTACCACCACAGCAACTGGCCACGAGGGGCCGGAGAGTATGCAGGGCCTCACCTGGTCCCGGAACATGAGGGAAACAATTTCCAGCACGTGGAGACTCCACTGCTGCTCAGCAGACGAGCTAGACAGAAAGAGGAGCAAGTCGTCCATGCCGCTGAGATGAATTGCCCAAAGCAGGCGGTCATGGATACTGGCATCATCGTCGATCCTCTGGGCAGTCAGCAGAGAGGGAGGAAGGACAGGCTCAGCAACACAGCCACCCTCCAGAGACACGCTCAGTAACACGGCCACCTTCCAGAGACACGCTCAGCAACATGGCCATCCTCCAAAGTCCTCAACACTCCTTGGCTAAGGCTCTTCCCCAGAGTCATCAGCAGATAAAAAAATCTGAAAGCGGAGCGTTCACCCCAACCAGCACAAGAACTCAGATGCCGCAAGACCCTCACCTTCTCCTGCTCAGGGTCAGCTGGTACATGGAGAATATTTCTGACCAGCAGCAATATCCGTTCAATCAGCAAGTTGTCTTCTTCCTGCCGATCCTCCCAGCCCTGGGCAAAAGGAGAAAAAACTGGCACACACAGAAAGAAAGAAAGACAGACAGACAGACAGACAGATACACACACACACAAATGCACACACACTAATAAATACATAAATTTCTAAAAACAAAAAGAAAGAAAAACCAGGTAGCACATGTCTTTAATCCCAGCACTCAGGAGGCAGAGGCAGGGGAAGGATCTACTTAGTTCCAGGCCAGTCAGGACTACAAAGAGAGACTGTCTCAAAACAAACAATAAATAAACAAACAAGTAAGTAAGTAAGTAAATATCATCATAGTAAAATAAAAGATTGGGCCAAGTCTGGTGGTAAAGGCAGGTAACCCCAGCTCCTCTGGGGCAGAATGACTACAAACTCAAAGCCTGCCCAGATTACAGAGTGAGTTCAAGGATATCCTAACAACATAATGAGATCTTGCCTCAAAAACAAAAACCTAAAACAGAGCTAGGGATATATTTCAGGGATAGAGTACTTGTGTAGCATGCGTCAGAGCCTGGATTCAGTCCCCAGGACGATGCGGCAAGGGGCAAGTACGGTAGTGCATGGCCACAGTCCCAGCACTCAGGAGGGAGAGTCATGAGTTCAAAACCATCTTCAGCTACACAGAGAAGTAGTGAATTTAAGTGTGTAGCCAGCCCGGGCTACATGCGACCCAATCTCAAAAAAAAAAAAAAAAAAAAAAAAAAAAAAAAATGGGGAGGGGAGGAGGGGGCCGACTGGAGAAATAGCCCAGCAGTTAAGAGCACTGGCTGCTCTTGCAGAGGACCTGGGTTCGATTCCCAGCACCCACATGGCAGCTCACAACCATCCACAACTACAGTTCCAGGGGCTCCAATGCCCCTTCTGACCTCTGAGGGCACCCGACACACACAGCACACATCCATACATGCAAGCAGAACACGCATACATATAAAATAGATTTTAAAAAAGAAAAAAAATGAGAGAGTAAGGAGGCAAAGAAAGAAAGGGGGGGGGTCCAGCAGTCCCAAGGTAGCTAGAAACTCTAGAGCAGACTACCATATCGCTAAGGATTGAGGGCCTTCCCAGGCACAGCTCCTTCCTCTGCAGAGGGATGCGCAGGGCAGAGACTCACTCACCAGCTGCAGCAGCTCATACAGGGTTTCACTGAGGACTCCAAAAGTCTTCTCACTGGCGAAGGCCTGTGGGACAGGGAACAGCTGGTAGGTGGTGCCTGCCTCCTCCTTCCTCCCTCTCCAAACTTGGGCCTAGAGCCTCTGGAGGAAGGCTTCACCTCTTTGTAGGCCTGCAGGTGATTTAGAACCTGCAGGAAATGGTGCCGCACACTGGGGTCCTTAGGCACGCTGCCGAAACAGAGCAAGGCCGGCTGAGTCAGATTCACCATCAGCCTGGGGAGACAGAGAAGGAAGAAGTAGTTAGGCTTCCCTGCCAGCAGACGCCAAGCATGGCAGATGGCAAAAGGCAGAGGAACCTGCCTGATAACAGCATCGAAGAGAGGCTTGTCCTGGCGGTGCTGGGTGAGGATGGGCAGGAGATCGCTCTGCAGGATCTTCGCAGCCCCCAGCTGCTGCCGCACATCTCTAGTCTCGTCCTCATGCCTCAAGTAGCGGATCAAATCCTTCACGCTCTCTTTAGAGACAGAATGGAACACATACTTGTGCCCTCAGAAGAAGCTGCCCGGGTCCATTTGCTCTTCACACCCTCAGCCTGAGAAATCCAGAAGACCTCAAGGGAGTTTTCCACCTGCTTCCTCAAAAGGCCACTCACCTAAGCAATCTGGCTCCTTGTGGTAAGTGTCCCCTTCCAAGTACCCAAGGGCACTACACGTGGCTAGAAGTTCACAGTTCATCCTGTACAAGTGCACACACCGGAGGCCCAATGACCAGCAGGATGGGCAGTAGAGACAGCAGACGAAAGCAGCGAGACCTGTAGCAACAGGAACACAGATGTGGGGCCCCGCGTGGTAAGGAAAAAGAACAAGCTAGGGCTTACCGATCAAGAAGATGCTGGGCTAGACCCATAATTGATGGAGATGTCCTTCTGTATATGTTTCTCTTATTGGTTGATGAATAAAACACTGTTTAGCCAATAGAGGCAGGACTAGGAGAAGAGGAAAAGTCTGGGAAAGGCAGGCAGGAGAGCCCGCCAGAACAGTCGTGATGTAGCAGGCAAAGGAGTCGCAGGTCCGGCATTCTCTGGTAAGCCAAGACCACATGGAAGGAAGATTAGTAGTTATGGGTTAATCATTAAGACAGAGCTAGCCAATAAGCAACTGTATTACAATTAATGTCTCTGAGTGTTCATTTGGGGCTGACACAGCTGTGGGACCAGGATGGCGGGAAACAGTGCTTGCAACACTTAATTGGTTCACTTTTATAAGAACTAAAAGTGATGATCCCAGGCCCAGGAAAAACAAACTTCTTTTAAACTTTTCTTTTTTGAAATTCCTGGTTTTTGAGACAGGGTTTCTCTATGTAGCTCTGGCTGTCCTCAATCTCAGAGATTTGCCTGTCTCTGCCTCCCAAGTGCTGAGATTAAAGGTGTGAGCCACCACCACCCGGCAGGAAAGCAAATTTTTAACTATCAATTGTGGTGCTGAGAATCAAACTCAGGGAGGCCCCGTGCATGGTGGGCAAGGCTTCTTTGTACCAAAGCCTAAAGTAGCTTCAATGTGTGAATTAAGACCTGGCACATCCTACAGCCAAATCCTGGAACCACAGAAACGTGTTTCAGAATTCTACAGCTTTCCCCCATACAGCCCCAGCTCGGATGTCCCACAGGCATAAAGAGTCCTAGCTTTGGCCTGGCGAGATGGCTCAGTAAGTGAGGCTGCTTGCCAACAATGCGGAGAACCTAAGTTCTTCCCACAGAACCCAACACGGGAGAAGGAGAGGACTGATACCGGTTGTCCTCTGACCCCCATATGTCTCCCTCTCCCAAACACACAGTGATCATATGTGAGATTTATGTATGTAGCTAGTGGGGATCCACAGTCCACACACACACACACACACACACACACACACACACACGCACGCACACGCACACACACACGACACATGCATGTCTGTGCATGTGTGTGCAGGCTAGGGGTCAACCTCAGGACCCTCCACCTCATCACTTTGAGACAAGGCATCTCACTGGGACTGGGGACTTGCTGGTCATGCAAGGGTGGCCAGCCAGGGAGCCCTAGGGATCCTCCTGTCTCTGCCTCCTCAGCACTGGAATTGCAACCACAAAGCTCCAAGCCTGGCTGTAGCTTGAACTTAGGTCTCTCTGCTTGTAGGACGCTGCTGTGGGCCGAGCTGTCTCCCCAGCCCCTATAAAGACTGATTGACAGCTCACAGGACCTCCTGGGTTTCCCAGGCACTGAGGTTGGTAAGAAAGCGCCTTCCCAAGTCACTCACATAGCCCGGCAGAAGTCAGTGGCTCTGACAGGGTCCCTGCCACTGCCCCAGGAGCAACACCCTCCTCTTCTGAAACATGACCCATTTGTCCTGCACCCTCACCAGGTAAAGGTGTAGTCACTGACCCAGAATCCTGAGTGACTAACACTCCAGATGCACACAAACACCCTGCATTCTTTACCCAACTCCTCTGGAAGGTCAGGAATACTCATCAATCTTGTCCCCTAGGAACTTGGCTGCACCTCACTTTGCTGTTGGAAGCATCCTCTAAAAAGACCTTTTCTGGCTGTGGTCCCTAGCTCAACACCCCAACTCCATCCCTAGGGTACACAAAAAAATGTTCAAAAGCCTAGGGCCTAATGATGGAAGGTATCTCCCTGTACTTACGGAACTGGCCTACTTCTTCACATTGCCTGCTCTCCTGCCCCCCAACCCCCGCCCCCAACTAACCTACTTCCAGCTACAAAGCTCAGCAGTACAAGGAGCCAGAGACTCACTGAATGACCAGGAGCCTTTTCTTTGCCGCCTGTTCTCAGGGATCTGGTCTCTGGTGAGGCAGCTTCTGTAGACACAGCCCCGATTCTCCCCAAAGACACACAAAGCTTTTCCAGGGGACACACACACACACACACACCACACACACACCCCAGACCAAAGGCCTTCCCCAGGGCTGACTTAAGAACCTGTCCAAGAAAAAAAAAGAGCTGTCTCAGATGATGAGCACCACAATAAAAACAGAAAAATAGAAAACACAGAAAATCTATTTATTTATGGGTTTATTATTTTGTTTTGAGACAGAGTCGCTCCATGTATTCCTGACTTGTCTATGCTGGAACTCAGTACTGTGGACCAGTGTGGCATCAAACTCACAGAGATCCCCCTGCCTCTGCCCCACCCGGTCCAAGGGCTGTTTTAGTCCTGTGTCTCCATGACGGGAGCTTTTACCCCAGTTCCAGTGAGCAGCCTTACGACTGCGGGGTTCCTGACCCATGCTCTCTGACCTTTTTCCTTTATTGCCTCCCCTTCGATGGAAAGGACTGAGAGCAGCTGGAGGTGGCAACCCTAGTTCTTTTACATGAATCCTGCCTGCCCTTATCTGCCTGAACCGTTTCTTCTCTTCCTCCTCCACCAATGTTTTGGGAAGCAACAGACAAAGAGGAGGCTAGCCAAATAACCCAGCAGGTAAAAATATTCTCCACACAAGCTCAATGACCTTAATTCAGACGGGAAGACAAAGAAGTGGCTGGCTGGCTGGCTGGCTGCCCATAAGGTTCAGCTTTGCCTGGAATACCCAGTGTAAATAAGACCCGACTCAAACTGGAAGGTGAGAACTGACCCCTCAGAGTTCATAAATTTAAGTAAAAGGGGCAGGCAGCACGGACAGAAAAATTAAGAGTTCACCCTCCTCTTTCTTGTTTCTTCTACAATTTGTGGGTACTGGGAATTGAACCCAGGTCCTCTGGAAGAGCATCCAGTGCTCTTAAACCACCCCCCTTTTTTGTTTGTTTGGGGCTTTTTTGTTTTTGGAGACAGGATTTCTCTGTAGTTTTGGAGTGAGTTCCACTCTGTAGACCAGGCTGGTCTCAATCTCACAGAGATCCACCTGTGTCTGCCTCCTGAGTGCTGGGATTAAAGTCATGCACCACCACCAACTGTCTCTAATGATCATGGATTTTCAGAGCATGGTTACTGACTTCCAGGGAATGGAGCTTGGACAAAAGTGTTCTGAAAGTGCCCCTGGGCGATGCTCAGGGCGTGGGGTCCAGCTGGCCCGCCAGGGATGCAGGAAGCCCTGGGTTGCCTCCTAACACTGCTAACATGGGGGTAGTGGGGCATCTGTACTCCCAGCACTTGGGAGCCTGGGGATCTCCGAAGAGACCAGTCTGGCAACTCAGGGAGTCTCCCCTTTAATAAGGCAGGAAGGAGAGCTGGTTCACACAGGTAGTGTCAGCTTGGCGCACCGGCCTTTGGTTCAGTTCTCACTACGGAAAGACGAAAGAGAGTACTTCTCAGGTGTTTCTAATTCAAGTCAGCTCACAACAGCACTAAAATGTCAGCTCCTCGATCCCATGATAATGCAGGTGATTAGTAAATGCTGTTTCCTAGACTGAAGGAGACAAGTCTTGACAATAAGGTGTGCTTCAGGGGGGTGGGGGGATGCAAAGGCTGGAAATTGGGAGGCATCAGACATACGGCAGTGAGCACAGGGAGGAGTTAGGGAGGATTCCCTGTCACCTTGTCCCTGTAACTGCACTGTAATTTACATGTTTTCCCACAAGTCCTCAAGGACAGGAACTCCCCACTCTTGGCCCTGAACACTTGACACTCAGGGCCATGCATGCTACATTATTAGCTCAATACACTTTGTTTAGTGTCACTGATAATAATCAAAGGTACAATACTTCAGGGACACAAAGAGATTGGCCAGCATTCAGGAGGCAGAGGCTGGTGGATATCTGTGAGTCTGAGCCTAGTCTGGTCTACACAGAGAATTACAGACCAGCCAGGACTGTCCTTTTATTCATGTATTTGTTTCGTTTGTGTGTGTGTGTGTTCCTGTTTAGGCGTCAATTTGAAGGAGCCAGTTCTCTCCTTCTATCTTGTGGGTTTCTAGGGTTGCACTCACGCCTTTAGGCTTGCAAGTAACACAAACGGCTGAACCCTGTCTTTAAAAAATAAAAATTAAAAAAGCAGGGGTGGGAATGACCAGCTCGGAGGGTGGAATAAATTGAATTACTGGATTATAGGGCAACCACACTTAGTCCTCTAAGATAAGTTCACCTGTTAAAGAAAGTGACAAGAACTTCCCAGCAATGGGAGTTCATTCAGATCGCGCGAAGCAGAGGACGCATCCTTTCCCTGAAGCTGAGAGTCAAATGGGATGAGGAAAACGTCAGGGATGTCCCACACCGACCTGAATAATCGTAAACCCTAGCTGAGCAAATTGGGCTTCAAAGTAAACGTAAAACGACGGGCGTCACCCCCTCCCCGCCCCCAAAAGAAAGTTCTAGAGACAGCATCAAAGGCAGAAAGAAATGGTTTCCTGGAAAGAGGCTTGAGTCATGACATCCCCAATGGAAGTCGTATCCTCCTTAGGTTTCACCAAATCGGGGGGCAAGCGGGTTAAACCCCATTGTAAGAACCCCCAAAGCCCGAGGATTCCAACTTCTGACGACTCCCAAGCCGATGTATGTCCGGGTCAGAACTGGACCGCGAGCTGCAAAGTGGCAAATGCCGGGAGTCTCCTGCTCGCTCTGCTTTCCGATCCCCCGGCCTCAGTGCCTCCCCTACCCCGGGTTGGAGGCTTGCACAGACGCTGCTCCGCTGCCTGCCAGCCACGGAGCACGGAGCAGCGTCAGAACGCGCGTGCGCGGCGGGAGCCCCGCCCCTCCGCCGCCTTTAAACCGCGCGGCGGGACCGCGGCCTCGGCGACGAGGTCGCACTTCGGCCCGCAGCCCCGAGGCTGCCCGAGCCAGCCCTGGGTCCTCTCGACACACTCACCCGCTCTCCGCGCGTCCCCCGGAGCCTCGGAGAGCCAGCGGCCCTGACGTGCGGGGCCGCTGCCTTTCCCGCCACTCGGCTGAGAGCGGCCAGTGTGCGCCTGCGCGGGGGCGGGGCGGGGCGGGGCGGACAGATCCACTTGACTCCGGAGGAGGGGAGAGCGATAATCGGTGATGAAATAAGACCGGAAACCAAGAAAGATTGTTTTATCTGAGTAGGGCGTCTGTACTAAAAGGGTAAAGCCAAACGCTGTGGATTTTCTACGGAATTATAATTAGAATCAAGGTCGAGTTAAAGTTTACATTCTTCCCCTGCCAGTCAGGTGGACTATTCCGAAGTCTTAAATGTTTTATTTGCAAGTGGAGAGTGTGGTGTATGGGATCGGGTTAGGGTTGTCTGTCTTACCATAGGCATACATACACCTTAAAGCTTGCGAAGTATATACAGGAGGTTTAGAATAGAAAGATCTGCAATAAATACTCGTTGTTCGGTTCAGGGTCACCCATGCCCCTGCTGAGATGGTGCTCTTGTAGTAACAATACAAGATGGAGCTCAAAAAATTCATCTCCGAAATTAAGCGTTTGGCTAGAGGAGATGGAATTCTGGGGCATGGGGGAGGATAGCTCGGAGGAAAGTGGAAAGACACACAGGGAAGACGGCGGATCTAGTGATGAAAGTACAAATATGTCATCTGCAAATTTCAGTTTGCGCTAAATAAATTTCCCCGCCTTGCTCGCCTCAACTCTGTACGTTTGCCTCAGACAGCAGATTTCCTGTTTTAGCCTCAACCATCGATTCCGGGGTTCGTGGCATTTGCAGAGGGCTAGTAGGTGGGCCTTTTAACTCACTTCTTATTTCTAGACTCTAGGCTTACCTAATCCCTATTTCGGTTGGAAGGTCCAACCTCTGCCAAGGCCTCTGAATGAACACGCAACCCAGCCAGTGGATGTAGACAGGTTTATGCGGCTTTACAGAACATCTCAAGCCCCGTGTTTTCTTTTCTCAGAGCTTCCGCCCCAGACATTGGGGCAGGTATCCCTGAGATAAGTAGGCCATATTCTCCCATAAGCTCCCTCAAAACCTTTAGGCACACTTGCCTAGTGGATTGGAAATAAAATCTCCCACCCACCCACCCTGAATCCATCCTCCCAACCCCTGGAATGCCTTGCCTCCATCTGTCTGTCTGTCTGTCTGTCTGCTTCCTGAGGAGAGTGACATTCTCTCCCCTGATCCTTCAAAAACCAAGATTCATACACTTGACTGGAAGCAGAGTAAAGTCCAGAAACTTCAGCTCTCAGATTCTAGAAACTTCAGCTCTCGGATTCTCTGCGTTGACCAAACTGGGCTGGGGGAGGGACATAACATGTTGACACCTCTTTTCCCTTCCCTAGCTTTTGTGTCCCCCAAACTTAGACACAACCACACACACCCACGTTCATATGAACAGTCAGGCACACACGGCGAAGGTAGTCGGGGTGGGGAGGAAGGGAAGTTTGCACCAACCAGATCGTGAATGCAACTTGAAAGATTTCACACAGCAAAAGGAAAAAAGAAAGAAAGAAAAACACACATAAGTTAAAAAATAAAGAAATACATGCCCTCCCCACAAGTGTCTTCCTTCATCCAAGGCCTGGCTTGGCTCCTCCTTGAAACCCCATGGACTCCATGGACTTCCTCTCTCCACCTGGATCTTTCACAGGGCCTGAGTCTTCAGCTCCACAGGCTCCCCTGTACCCTCGGGCTGTCCATTGGAGTCGCTGGGCCTGGCCCCCTTGAGGATAGACAGTCTCTCAGAAATACTCTTGAGCCGGGGGAAGAGGAGAAAGTCATAGAGGAGGCTGCCCAGACCGCCTCCGATGATGGGGCCCACCCAATACACCTGTGGGAAGAGAGAAGGCAAGCTCAGGCTTTGGGACTCTCAGGGGAAAGCAAGACTTCCTTCAGCTGTCTAAGTAGAAGTCAGTGAATGTTGTTGTTGCTGCTGCTGTATTCAGGCCCCCAAGTGTAGAGCATGTGTTCTAGCGCTGAGCAAACATTCTAGACTCCATGGGGCTGGAGAATGTCTCAGTGGTTGGTTAAGAACACTTGTTGCTCTTGCATAGGACCCAAGATCAATTCCTAGCACCCACATGGCAGCTCACAACTGTCTGTAACCCCAGTTCCCAGGGATCGGAGTTACACACAGGTATGTAGCACACAGACACACATGAAAAATACCTATATACATAAAAAAAAAAATACAGCCTGGCATGGTGGTGTCCACCTTTAATGCCAGGACTAAGGAGGCAGAGGCACTGGGTCTCTGGGAGTTCAAGGCCAGCCTGGTCTACAGAGTGAGTTCCAGGACAGTTAAGGTTACATAGTGAGAACTGATCTCTACAACAAAAAAAATCACAAAATAAAACAAAAAAATAAATAAAATAATATTATTTTGAAAATCATCTAGACTCTACTGTACATCAAAACCTGTCATTTTCTTCTGATTTACTAACGTTTTCCTGTCCTGCCTCTGCCTCCTCAGTGCTGGGATTAACAGTGTGTGTTACCACCGCCTGGACATTTTCTGTTCTTATTCCTCTACCTATACCTCCTTAGCATACATTATTCTAGTTGTTGTTATTTTGAACTAGTTATATATTTCTTAGAAAATTTGTAAATTATTACATAAAATGTACCTTATTAAATATTGTCTATGATTTTTTTTGTTTTTGTCTAGTACAGGATCTCATTGACCTCAAGATGACCTGAGACTTGCTGCATAGCTGAAGATGACCTTGAACTTCTAATCCTCTGGTCTTCCCAAGTGCTGGGATGATAGGCATGCGCCACTATCCAAGTTTACTCAGTGATGGGGTAAAAGTGTAAATAAGCAGGGATACTGGCTTGGGTTAATCATAGCACTTAGTAGGACAACTTAGGAGAGTTGCCTTCAGTATGAGGCCAGGCTGGGTTACACAGTGACTTTGACACCCATCTTGGGTTACAGAGTGACACCGTGACTCAAAACTAAACGGTTCTACAGAACCTGGCACACGTGCCTGTTAATCTCGACATTCAGAGACAGAGGCAGGTGGATCTCTGTGAGCTCCAGGACAGCCTGGCCTACAGAGTGAGTTCCAGGATGGCCAGGGCTACACAGAGAAACCCTGTCTCAAAAAAAAAAAAAAAAAAAAAAAAAAAAAAGACTGTGGGGCTCAGGAGTGTTCAAACTCAGTAATGTTATATATTCACGTTGTTGTATGCAGCCATTAAGCTGCTATCTGACCGCAGCCCCTGGCAGCCACCCTGCTACTCCCTGTCTCCCGTGTTTCTAGCAATTTGTGTTTCTTTTTCTTCCCTTTCCCTCCTTCTCCTCTTTATGGAGTCATGTAGCACAGGCTGGCCCTGAACTGCTGTGTAGCCTAGGATGACCCGGGACTCCTGACCCTCTTGAATCTGCCTCCCGGGTGCTAGAAATCTAGGCGCATACCACCGCACTGGCCTGTTTGAATGGGTGTGAATACTCTACCTCGTGTAAGTAGAACTATATGAGAATTACCTTTTGGTGACTGGCAGTTCCACTTTGCATAATGTCCGTGAGGTTTATGTCTAGCGTATGGGAAATTCCATGTGAACACTGGCCACGTCCTGTTTTTCCACTCCTCTAGCAAAGGGAATTAGGGTTGCTTCTACCTCCTGGCTGTTGTAACTAATGTGTGTAGTGTATGTGTCTGTTTGTGTATGGTGTGTATGTGTGTGTGTGTGTGGTGTATGTGATGTGTGTGGTGTGTGTGATGTGTGTGTGTGTGTGGTGTGTGTATGTGGTATGTGTGTGTGTGGTGTGTGTGGTGTGTGTGATGTGTGTGGTGTGTGTGTGGTGTGTGTGATGTGTGTGGTGTGTGTGTGATGTGTGGTGTGTGTGTCTGTGTGTGTGTGGTGTGTGTCTGTGTGTGTTGTGTGTGTGATGTATGTGGTGTGTGTGGTGTGTATGTATGTGGTGTGTGTGTGTATGTGGTGTGTGTGGTGGGTGTGTATGTGGTGTGTGTGATGTGTGTGGTGTGTGTGTATGTGGTGTGTGTGGTGTGTGTGATGTGTGTGGTGTGTATGTATGTATCTGTAATTGATGAACAGAGGCAAAGAATGACTTATTAGTCAGAATCACATACAAGACTAGTAGAATTTAGGTGCCGCTGGGCCTGCGGGCACACACTCCGACCTCAGGAACCAGAAGTCCTTGTCTGAAATGTAATTGGCTTTCCAGTAGCCTCCAGTCCAGGTCTTGCTGTGCTGTCTATGCCAACTCCAACTTTCCGGGCTCAGATATTCCTCCTGCATCAGCCGCCTCCCCTGCGCTGGAACTACAGGCTTCATATCACCACACCCAGCTAAGAGCTTCTCTTTTTGACAAAATAATGCAGTGTGCGCATGTGAGCATGCCAAGGTCCCTGGCAGCCTCCTTAGCCTCATTCTGGCCTGGGAGCAGCCAATGCATCCCGATGGAATGCAACCTGCAGTCCAGCCTGCCAAAAGGGCCCTATGCTCTTATCCCGCGCTCTACTTACCCAGTGATTGCTGAAGTTCCGGGTGAGGATGGCAGGGGCAAAGGAGCGGGCAGGATTCATCCCTGCCCCAGTGTAATACATCTGCAAAAGATACAGTTATGGCTGAGACATTCCCAGCCCAACCTCTCTCTGCAGCCCACATTGCCAGTGAGAGCCGGCATCTTGTCTCCAGCCAGCAGCACATGGAGCAGGGCCAGCTTTCTAACTCTCCACAGTAGATAGTGACACTGATATTCCATCTGGGTACAGAACTATGGACCCAGAAGAACGACCCAGTTCTACCCATGAAGTCAAGAAAGGTCAGATATAGTAATTAAAAAAAAGTTGGCCCCTTGGTGTCAATTGATAATGAAAAGGGTGGCTAACACGATTAAAGGTGGGGAAGAAAGTACCCTTACAGGTTGGTAATGCTTTGGGGTCCCTGGAATCCTGGAGTAAGAAGTTTCCCACCTCTCCAGCTTACCCCGAAGAGGTGCCCCAAGGTGAGGGAGAAGCCAACAGCCAAGGCCACGGAGCCCATGCGGCCATTCCGCCTCTCGTCATACGTGGCAAAGATGCAGAGCACAAACTGGAGTGTCAGGAAGATCTCCACAGTGGTGGCCTGGCCCACGCTTACCCCAGCATGCAGCTGGCCAAGGGGGAAAAGGGAGGCGATCATTAGCACTACCATGCTATTACCATGGTACCCTCTTATCAATCAGGCCCCTGACGGGAAGGGTATGGAAGCCCTCCAGCCATGTATTTCTAGCTTGGTTTTTCCTAAGGGCACTTCTCTGTTGCTCTTTGGAAATGATGGCACTTACACTGAGTAAAGTAAATCTCCTTAAGGACCTGGAAGGAGAAATAGGGAGGACTCTCATTTGGTATTTCTTGCCTGCCTAAGGCCCTGGGTTCTGGCATGCCTGGTAGCTTAGCACTTGCAGGGTAGAGGCAGGAAGAATATCTTTGGCTACATTGGAAGGCCAGGGTTAGATCCCCCAGATCACAACAACAACAAAAGAACCTATGTAGAGTTGGGAGGAGAGCTGAAATCTGAGATAAGCTTTCTCGATTGATCCTTCATGGAGGGCTCTGTTCTTTTTCCTTACCCCTCCTAAGCACTCATGGCTCACACACACACACACACACACACACACACACACACCTACACACTCACACACACACACTAAACCTACACACCACACACACACACATCTACACACCACACCTACACATCACACACACATACACACCAAACACACACACACACACACACACCCCTACACACTCACACACACACATACACCACACACAAGCCTATGTACATACACAAGCAAGCATGTTAGGGCGACAGTCAAGATACCATCCCCCCCCCCACCTAATCCACCCCTTACCGTGTTGAGTGCTAGGTTTCCTCTGACAGCTGGCGGGGTGACGCTGTACAACACAGCCGCTCCAGCCACAGCTCCCAGAAGCTGAGCTGCCATGTAGCATAAGGCTCGGAGCAGGGACATCTGGGAACCCACGAGGAAGGCAAAAGTGACTGCAGGATTGACATGGGCTCCACTAATGTGACCCACAGTCTGCACCAATGTAGCTAGGGCCAAGCCAAAGGCCAAAGCCACTTGGAGAACATGCAGGGGTCCAGGGGCCCAGCGCAGCGAGGCTCCCAGCCCAAAGAAGACGTAGAAGAGGGTGGCAAAGAACTCAGCAAATATGGCCCTCCAAAAGGAGGCAGATCGAAGTTCCCACATGGCAATGGGGGGGGGTGGGCACGGTGCCTGGGTCCCTAATAAGCCCCTGGACTTGCCTGGGTGGACAGCCCCCTTTATAGAGAGCACTCTTAATCCCTGGGAGGGGCAGCTGGGGTAACTGGCTCTGCCTCTTAACCCCTTCAGGGCTGTGGATGTCCAAACACCTGATGGAGAGGCTGGGATTTTTCTTTCTCTCTTCATCTGGGGGATGAGCCAGAGAGCCAGGAGGCAGGGGTGTAGGGTTCATGGATGGAGAACTGAAACAGTCTGTGTCAAAGTTGGGGTTCATGGTCCTGACTGAGATCTGATGGCTTAGAACATTCCTCAAATTTCTTGGAAGGTAGTCAGGTTGAGTTCACTTCTCAGGATATGGGCTGGGCTCCCTTCTGGGGGTCTCAGGCTCCTCTGACTCTATCAGGGTTAAGGGTGGGGGGTGGGGGGTAAGGAGTGGGGTACAGTAGGGAAACTGAATAACTGGAGAGAATTCTTTAGTGCCCTAGGATTAGAGGGCCTTCTCCCATTGGCTGGTTCAGACAGGAATCTGTGGACCCTGCAGCTCTGGAACAGAATAGTTCTGCTGTGTCTGGCTTTCTCAGAGCCCCGGGTTCCCTACCCCCAACCCATGCCAGCACCTCCCTTTCCAAACCCTCAGCCTGCCCTTTTAAACCGGAGAGAGCAAGAGGAAGAGCAAGAGGAAGTGTAAGCGGAAAGTAGGGTTGGGGGTCTGAGAAGGAGGAAAGAGGTCAGTGGTGTTTCCATCCTCCTGCAAACTAGACACAGTTTGAGGTTGGACTGGGGAAACGTTACCATGTCGATGTCGGTGGAAGGGCTCTAAGTACCTACCAGCGGGAGGTGGGGAGGTCAAGGGCACTCAGAGGGACTGATTCAGGAGAAACGACACCCCTTGGCTCTTTAATGTTCCAGGAGCACCTCAAGTCTCCTGACTTCATCTCAGCCCATGATGCCCCTAGATTCTGGTCCCCTCTGTCAACCTCAGAAAACACAGGGTTTGTACTGCTTCCAGAAAACACCCTTAGACAGGAGCAAGGGTAAACAGATACATCAAGGATAAGAGTAGAGAGCCTAGAAACAAGTGTGAGGGAAGGTGACAGAAATAGTTGCAAGTACTGGCTAGAGTGTAGACTCTTTGACATATAGACAGCACCATGTGCAAAAAAGAAAAAATGAACAAATACATACTTCCTGACTCAAGAATTGCACTTACAAACCCAGGAGAAACTCTTCTATAGACGCCCCAGCAGACATGTGCAAGAGCAGCTATTCAGTTGCAAGAAGCAAAACTAATGCAGACACTTGCCAACAGGAAATTGAAACCACAAACAGCAGTATAGTCCATAGTAGTAAGAATATTATTCAATAGTCAACGTGAGTTAATAGTCAGTGACACTCAATAATAAGGACATATCTTAGCAACAAAATGGTTTCTAAAAAGTTCCAGGGATTGTCCATCTGCACATATGACAGCACATGCCTATAATCCCAGATCCATGGGAGTTAAAGTGGGAGGGTCTCACCCTGACCCATCCTCAAAGCCAGGGTCAGTCACATGGGATGAGAGACTTGTGCCTCTACCAAGATTAAAGTGACAGTGCCCAAGCCAAGGCCAACCTAGACTACATGACAAGCACTCCGCTAGCCAGGGCTATACAGGAAGACTGTCTCAGTCTATATCTGTAGAGATGGGGTGGATGGCTGAAGAGATGGCTCAGAGACTAAGAGCATTTGTTGCCTTGAAGAGGATGGGGGTCCACCCACATGAACGTGGTGGCTCACAACCATCCATAACTCAAGTTCCAGGGGATTTGATGCCTTTTCTGACCTCCACAGGCACCAGGCACATGTAGGGTACACATACACACATGCAGACAAAATGCTCATACATCTAAATTAAACCTAAAAGACACACACACACACACACACACACACACACACACACACACACTGTGATACTCTTTTTATAAATGTAAAAATGGATGAGGATATGGTCTGGTTGCTAGAGCACTTACCTATAAAGTGAAAATGCATTTTTTAGAATACAAACAGATGAGATGAAACCACACACAGGGGAGAGCATAGCACTAATATGTATCTGTGGTTCTGGCACACGGGAGGTAGAGGGCGGAGGTTATGAATTCAAAGCAGGCCCTGGAGATGCATAGTGCGACCTTGTCTTGAGATGGATGGATGGATGGATGGATGGATGGATGGATGGATAGGTAGGTAGGTAGGGCAGTGGTAGTGCATGCCTTTAATCCCAGCACTCAGGCAGACACAGGAGGATCTTTGAGTTTGAGGCCAGCTTGGTCTTCAGAGAGGAGACTTCCATGACAACCAGGGCTACACAGAGAAAACTTGTCTTGAGAAAGCAGAGGAAGGGGGTGTAAATTTCTGTTGAATCAATTTAATATGAGCTCCTTGGGGCTCAGTCTCTTCTTCCTCAAATAAATATTGTAGTAAAGTGCCTCACACAGAACAAAACACTCAACACACAGAAGGCAGTCAAAAGCCAAGGGTTCTATTAACACCAAAAATATTTTCTCACAACCTGGTACTCTTTTATAAGAGGAACAGAAGGGAGTCAAGTCATCACCAAATGGTCAGATTTCCTTATCTGCAGCAAAACCCTTCCCTCTTCATCCCTTGGCAGATGTCAACAGTTAGCCAGATCTGTAATCCCAGCGTTCCAGAGGCTGAGGAAGGAGGCTACCCACTCACTTAAATACAGCCTCTTTCAAACATAACTGGGGTCAGGCAGTGAAGCGCTCAGTGGGTTAAGCTGCTTGCCACCGAGTCTGGTGACCCCAGTTTGAATCCTCAGATTCCCATAGGAGAAGGAAAGAATCGATTCTTTCAGGTTGTCCTAACCTCCATGCACATGTCCTGGCCACACACACAATAAATAAATAATAAATAAACGTAACTGAACAAAACCCTAACTGGAGATAAGCTTTACATATGTTGACATATAATTAGCATATTAATTTATTTCTATTATCTTTGTTTTTATTTATTTTTGAGACAGGACCCTACTGTATAGTCCAGGCTGGCCTTGAACTCCTCCTACCTCCTGCTCTGAGTAGCTAGGATTATTTTTAATGTGTATTCTACTACACCTAGCCTTAGCCTAGAATTAAAAAGGGGTGGGGGTGGGGCTAGAGAAATGGCTCAGAGATGGCTTTGTTCCAGAGGACCCAGGTTCAATTCCCAGCACCCACATGGAGCTCATAACTACCTGTAACTCCATTTCCAGAGCATCTGACACCTTCACACGGACCTGCAAGTGAAACACCAGTGTACATGAAATACAAATAAATAAAATTTAAAAAAAAGAGCAAAAAATGAAAACAGGCTGCGCTTCCCTTGAGAAGTGAATCTGACCTTGCACAAGTACTTGCTTGGTATGGGTAGGAAATCGCACCTCTGTTATTGATCTGGCCACCAGGGGGCCCTCTGCCAGGCTCATTTCCTTCCCTATCACCGCTGGGAGCCACAGGGAGCATGAGGAATGCCACTTGGAACCCGTGGAAAAACTCCATGCTCAGAGTCTGGTCTTCCATGACTTTTCCTGCTTACCCGTGCGTGAGACCAGGAGTTGGAGGGACACAATATTCCTCTCACCACCAGCCCCTGCCATGGCTTAAGTAAGAACGGTGTTGAATGACATGTTTCCCAGGGTGGTGTTATGGGGAGGTGGCAGGGCTCAGAGGGGGTTGTCCTTATATGAAGTGTCCAGGTCAAGGAGGGGTGCCCTCAGACTGGTTTCTCCTTCCTTTTCCTCTCTAGATGTATCTCCTGGCTCATGACAAAAGCCAACTGCCCGGCCGTACATTTCCACCTATAGAAGTGCTGTGCTAGCTGGCGGTCCAGAGCCACAGTCACTCAGGGTTGGACCCTTTAGAAACATGAGTTACAAATAAGAATTTTTCCCAGTCGGGCCATGGTGGCGCATGCCTTTAATCCTAGCACGCTCGGGAGGCTGAGCCAGGAGGATCTCTGTGAGTTCCAGGCCAGCCTGGTCTACAGTTGTCTTAGTTCCAGGACAACTAGGGCCGTAACACGGAGAAACCCTGTCTTGAGAAAATAAAAACAAAACAAAACTTTTCTCTTCACAAGATATTTTCTCTTATGACAGGCAGTTGCCTGATGCAGCGCGCTAGGAAGTTTTTGGAGACAGAGCTAAATCAAGTCACCCTGAATCCTGAGCTGTAGAGTCTAACACAGTAGCCTTAGCACCTGTTCAGGGGCACTGTCCTATTCCAGGGTGAAGGGAAGCTGGCTGTAGAGTCAGGGGCGAAGGAACTAAGGCCAGGATGTTCCTGTGCTGTCTCAGAACATAAGTCTCCCCTGAACAGAACTGCGGCAGGAGCCACAGCTGGACTTCTCCACCCCTACCTGACCTCACCAGACCTGAGCCAGGCTGGCCAGCAGCAGTCCTCAAGCCAGGGCTGGCTGCCCAGGACGAAAGAGTTGTCCCCAGCATGGAGCCTCCACTGGGGCAGGGGGCCTCAAGGATCGCCTCTACCAAGACCCTGGTCCTTCAAGATGGGTCAGTGTGTGGAGGAACTTGCTTCCAAGCCTGATGACCTGGGCTCATCCCTGCAGCCGTGCAGTGGAAGAAGGGGGTGGACTCCAGTACGTTGTCCTCTGACCTCCACATGGGCGCTATGGTTTGTACCTTCCTCGTTATTTACTTTAAATGGTATGAAGAAATTAATGATGACTAAACCAACCAAACAAAAACATCCATCTCTGCCTGTCTGCCAGAGAAGGAGTAAAGCAAGACAAAGCTTTGTGCCCTGGCTGCGTGAGGCTTTCTCTCCTCCCCATCCTCTCCCTTTCCCCTGAAGAACCTCAAGAGGTGGGAAGAGGGTTCTACCTCCAGGTTATGTGGTCCTGGGGCTCCAACCCAGGGCTTTGTGTGTGATTCATAAACACTCTGCCATTCTGAGCTTCTCAAGTTTTCTTTCTCAATAGGAACTATAGAAGAGAGAAGATCTGTAAGATAATAAAATTGGGTAATATCAAATATCTTTTTTTTTGCAAATTGTATTTGTTGTTATTATTAGGGTGTGTGTATGTACATGTAGTATCCATGTGTGTGTGGAGGTCAGAGAACAACTTTTTGGGGGTGTTTCTCTTCTTCCATCCTTATATGAATTCTGCGGATTAAACTCAGATTGTCGAATTTGCAAAGTGCCTTCAGCTCTGTTTCTTACGTCATTTTTTCTTTTTTTTTCTTTTTTTTCTTTTTTGAAACAGGATGTCTATGTAGCCAAAACCAGGCTCAAATTCTTACCCCTCCTCCCTCCCATCTCCCACACACGGTACCACTGCATTCATCTTACAGGTTTTCATTTGTTTTAAAGATGTGTGTGTATTGTTTTCAAATGTATAGACAGGCATGTGTGAAGTGCCAGAGGCCTCGTGTCTCCTGGAGCTGGAGCCCCAGGCAGTTGTGAGCTACCAGACATGGGCCTTGGGAACAGATCTCCAGTCCTCTGGAAGAGCTGAAAGAGATCTTTTGATTTTTATTTTGTACTTTTTGAGGAGTGCCTCTCCTGAACCTGGAGCTGCCTCTTTGTTCTGTTTCTTTCTCCAGACAGGTTTGCAGCCAGCAAGCTCCACTGATTATTCTGTCTTTGCTCCTCACAGGGATGTAAGACGACACTAGGCTTGTTATGTGGGATCTCGAGTCCAAACTCGGCACTGTGCAGCAACTGCTCTAGGCCAGTGAGCCGTATCTCCAGCCACTGTTTGTTTGAAACAAGGCCTTTTATGCAGCTCAGACTTACCTCAGACTTGCTATGTAGCAGAAGCTCACGATCCTCCTGCCTTTGCTGTAGCTTTGCCTTTATCACGACTTTTCTTTTAGACATCTATTCGGCCTATTTGTTTATCCTGATCCTTATTTACCGCGATATCTCTGAGCATCCCTGACTGTCCTGACTCTGTATGTACATCAATCTGGCCTCGAACTAGGTGATCCTCCTGCCTCTGCCTCCCGAGTGCTGGAATTAAAGGCTTGCGCCACCTTTGTAATACCGACCATCTTAATAATATGTACATTTTTTTGAGACTACCTCTCCAGTGTCTCAGGCTGGCATCAAACTTGCCGTGTGTCTGAGGGCAATTTTAAACTTGTGGTCCTCCTGCCTCCATCTTCTGAGTGATGGGATTCAGGTGTGCACTTCGAAACCCAGTTCATACAGTACTAGGCATGGGACACACAGCTTAGTGCATGATAGACAAACATTGTACTGAGCAACATCTCCAACCTACTATACATGTGAAGTTAGCTATCTTAAATAAAAATGCAAATTAATTGATGTGTGACTTAATCATATATTAACCTAATCTGTGTTTATCATGTAGCAAACATCCACTCTAGTGGTTTCAATATTCACAAATAGAGATGTGGCCCTCAGGGACAGGTGACCATTCATTTCTGTTCCCATCATGTAGATTCTATCCTAGGTCCACATTCAGAATGCCATGTCAGCATGTAACCCAGCTCCATTGTGTGGACAGTTTCAGTAGGACAAAGGCCCCAACATAACACCAGCCAGCCCAGCAGCCCCTTTGGCTAGGTCCTGAGGCCACCCCCCTTCTCTCGATCTCTCTGGTTATGCTTTGCTGACTGCTGACTCCTGGCATAGTCTAGAACAATCACCAAGCTCCCAGCTCATCATCCCTTTCCCCACTATAGTCAAGGGCTCCAATTAGCACTTGGACTGGACCAGAACCCTATGTATCTGGAAATGCAACATGTAATCCAAGTCACAGGGTAAACAAGGGGTTAGTCTGTCTTGCCTGTACCCTTATTTCCCCTTTCCAATGAGCCAGGCACAACCCCTGACCAGACCTACCCATGCTCACTACAGGGCAGGTCCTGCTCTGAGCATTTTATATGTGTCTCTTCATGTATTGCTATCCCCTAGGGCTACACCTCTCTCTGTTTTCCCACTTACTCTCCTGGGATTCCTTCATCTATAAACATCCCTCTCTTGAAAATTTGTATACCCGTGGGAATGGGAGATGGGATAGTTAAAACAGAGTATGTGGGGAAAGCCTTATGGAAACCCATTACTTTGTAAGGTAGTTAAAAAATAGAATGAGGGGGCTGGAGAGATGGTTGAGAGGTTAAGGGCACTGGCTGCTCTTCCAGAGCAAGTGGGTTCAATTCCCAGCAGCCACACGGTGGCTCACAGCCATCCACAATGAGATCTGGCGCCCTCTTCTGGCCTGCAGGCGCACATGCAAACAGAACCCTGTATACATAACAAATAAATACATCTCAAAATAAATAAATAAATAAATAAAATAAAAGACAGGCAAGGTTGGCATAGGCCTTTAACTCGAGTAGTCGAGAGGCATAGGCGGGCAGATCTCTGGGTTCAAAGCCGGTGAGTTCCACGGTAGCCAGGGCTACAGAGAAACCCTGTCTCAATAAATAAATAAATCAATGAAGGGGACATGCTGAACATAGGTACCATGCTTGGCTGGGGTGGACATGCTTTCCCAGAAGATCACAGTGCATGGCCTCCCATGAGTTATTGATCAGTCCCACACCAGAACCCAGGCTATAGCCATTGCCTTAATTGTCTACAAGAACTAACAGAGACTCAAGAACTAACAGGTGAAACTCTCTTGCTGAACATTCGGTTGAAGGACACAGAGAAATCTAGTGGAATTCACCTGGAAAACTTCCCACCCGCCGGCTAGGCACCATAGTGCCAGGAAAGCTATGCCGGAGAAAAGCCACCAGTGAGGGCATCTATCGGCAAATCCTGCTTGCTACGATATAGACCTGCCAGGCACAGTGTTCCCTTGGTGCAATCGTGGGTGAATGTTGTGGGGACTGGATTTGAGGCCTACCTCACAGGAGAAAAGCCATGCCTCCTATTGTAAGCCAGGTCAAAAGCATGACTGGGGAGGTAAAAGAACCCAGGACAGAAACTACTACTGTTGTACTGAAAAAAAAAAAAAAAAAAAAAAAAAAAAAAAGCCATGTTGTGAAGCTTCAGTTGGAATATTTATGTTTATACTCATAGATTGGCCAGGTTACTCAACCTTGGCCGGGTACAATACCCCATCACTCAAGGCTCAGGGAACATCATGACAGAGAAGGCAGAGAGAACCTAAGAGCTGGAGGAGAGCTGCGCCATCTTCTAGACATGACAACAGTCTTTGCACTGGGAGCTCACAGGAGCTATGGTTACCTACACAAGGCCTGCACAAGAGCAGTTAGCGTGCCAGGTAGTGGGGGCACACTCCTTTAATCCAGCTCTCAGTGAGTTCAAGGCCTGCCTGGTCCATACAAAGCGAGTTCCGGGACAGCCAGGGATACCCACACAACTGAAGAACATTTCCATGTGGCCGTCCCATAGACACCTCAAATTCAGCTTCCCTAAACGTAGCCAATCCCCCAACACTTTCCATTCCTTCCCCATGTAATCACCCACCTCTTACGTACTGGGTCAGATCATGTCTTCTGTAAGATCTCCGGTGGCCTAAATCCTGCTTTTCTGTTTCTCATCTCATCCCCTCCCACCAGGATTCATGCATGCTCTGTGAGGTTTCCAACTTTGCCTTTGCATGAGAATCTAATTTATCAGTCCCTTCTTGCCGTAAACCACCCCTGGATGTCTGAAAGAGTGATTCACATTTCCTCGTAACGTATGTCATTATGATTTGGCCCCAAGTTTTCAACTGTTCTACCATCCATCCTCTCAGTGCAGCTCTCTGGCCAATTGTGTCCCTTCTGGGCCCTGAAGTACTCTGTTTGGATAATCCCAGCCACTCAGGAGGCTGTGCCAGAAGGGTTCAAGTTCAAATACTGCTTAGGCTACAGTGTGAGTTCCAAGGCCAACTTGGTGAGACCTTGTCTCCAAATTAAAACAAAACATATGTTTAAAAAGGGGGGGGGGCTAGGAACACAGCTCAGTGGTCATGATCAAACAGAGAGGGTCGGGAGAAAGGAGGGAAAGGACTAGGAAAAGGAGGGAAGAGGAAAAAGAGGGGAGAAGGGGAGAGGGAAAGGAGGGGAGGGGGAAGGAGGCGTGTCTTAAGTGACTGCGAAGCCTATTGGTGCTTCAGCCCTCCAGCCTGAGGGAGAACCAGTCAGTCCTACAGAGACCCAGTTTGAAACAGTTCTGTCGTCACTACCCAAACCCAGAGCATTGGCAGAGACGAGCAGGACTTCTGCGGAGGAAATTCCCTGACATTTTTGCTCCTGGGTTTAAAAGTCATCAAACCAGAAGGAGCGATTGCCAGGACCGCGGTAAACAAGCGGGAGCTGGCCATGAACGAGAAGCAGGGGACCTGACGGCGGGCGGGCGGGCGGGGCGACTCGGAGGTCGTGCGCAGCTTGGTGGCTTCGTGGCCAACCCCCTGGCCCTTTGCCTGTGTGCCCAGAGCCAGCGCCACCGAGCTAGTTTCTCCCTGGAGAGCTAGCTGGCGGGCTCCAACACCGATGGCATTCCGGCCCCTTTATGCTCTCTCCCCCCGGGCCACCCCTGGAGGTGAGGCTACCCTTTTCCCGCTTTGCTTTTTTTTTTTTTTAAACCCTGAAAGTATTAAAAGTAGCTTTGTAATTAGGAAAAAAAAGTCAACACGCTGCACCTCTCTGATTAAGTGAATGAAAAGGCTAGGCCTGACTGCACCCTGGTGGAGAGAAGGAGTCACTGCACTCTACAAAAAAATAAATGAACAAATAAATAAATAACAAATAAATAAAAGTTCCTCCCTTCGTGTTCATTTACACATTAAAAATAACGAGCACGAGCCGTGCTGCTCATCCCAGCGCCCGGGAGGCAGAGACGGCGCGATGTCTGTGACTAGGGTCACTCTCTTGCCGGGACTAAAGAGCCATCACGGATGCGGGCGCGTTCCGCCCACGTGATCCCGACGCCGGCCAGCCATTGGTCGGTCCCCCGGCGGGGGCGTGGCCCCGGGCGTCAGAGGCACAAGATGGCGCTGCCCTTTGCACGCTGCTGGAGCTCGTGCCGCTGGGGAGCCAAGCGATGGGGGGTCCCTGCCGGCCAAGCCCGGAGAGGTAGGGTTGCTGCTTCTCACCCTCTCAGTCCACTAGTTAACGCTCCTCCTGCCCCGTCTGCCCTGGGCTAGCAAGAGACCGCACCCCCCAACTCGGCCGTCATTTGCGGCTCCCGGGGCTGCGATCCTGGAGCGACAGCTCCACCCTTTGCATCTTAACGTTTGGCTGTTCCCGATTTCCCATCATCGTTTCCGATCAAGAACCAGCCCTAGGGTTCTAACCTGTCACTACCCGTTTTTGTTTTTGTTTTTTTGTTTTCTTTTCTTTTTTTTTTTTTTCCTGGCTCTGCCCTCAGGCATCAGTTTCAAACTGGAAGAAAAAACTGCCCACAGCAGCCTGGCACTCTTCAGAGGAGACACAGGTGTCAAATACGGCTTGGTGGGACTGGAACCCACCAGGGTGGCCCTGAACGCGGAGCGCTTCCGGGAGTGGGCGGTGGTGCTCGCCAACACCACGGTCACCAGCGGCAGGCACTACTGGGAGGTCACAGTGAAACGCTCCCAGCAGTTCCGGATAGGAGTGGCAGATGTGGACATGTCCCGGGACAGCTGCGTCGGCGCTGACGATCGTTCCTGGGTGTTCTCCTATGCCCAGCGCAAGTGGCACAGTATGCTGGCCAACGAGAAAGCCCCGATTGAGGGTATTGGGCAACCAGAGAAAGTGGGACTGCTGCTGGACTATGAGGCCAAGAAGCTGAGCCTGGTGGATGTGAGTCAGACCGCCGTGGTGCACACACTACAGACCGACTTCCGAGGCCCAGTGACCCCTGCCTTTGCTCTTTGGGATGGAGAGCTGCTAACCCACTCAGGACTAGAAGTGCCCAAGGGCCTCTAATGCGGCCGTTACCCAAGTCCCTTAATCATGCGTTCTGTTCAGAGAGTTTAACGTCGTTTTACATTGCCTCAAGCAGCTGGTAGCTCTCACAATTCCGTTGGGATCCCTTGTGCAATACTTTAGCCATCTTCCTCTGGTCCCTACTCTGTGAAAGCTAGGTATGCAGCCAAACTCTGTCCTCCTCACATTACTGCCAGTTTTCTAGAGCATCAGGTGAATTTTCTCAAGTTGCTTCCTTGAGTCCTTCTGCTCGTGCCCAGGTATCTTAGACCGCTCACTCTCGGGGGCCCCAGGGGGTCCTGTCTTTCAGCCACTACCTTCCCCTTACCCACATGTAACTTGTTTGGGGGTTTACCAGCTTCTCCTGAGTAAATGCTTTCTACCTCTGGCTGGAGGACTGGTGGCCTTTTCTCTTACCAGATTCTTGGGTGCTGGCCCCTTCAGGAGACCGGCACCACACGTTGGTCCTACACAGATGCAGCTATCATCGAACTCTTGAGTCATCTGTCTTCTCTGCACCACCTCTCAAACCCAGCCAGTTCTTGTCATAACCATTGTGCCAGTTACAGCTGTGACCAAAGGGGAAGAGACACCAGGGGATATGTATAGGGCTGTGGTGCCAGAGACTCCTACCTTTGAGAAGTTCCATCTGCATATGTGCCACAGTTGGGAGCTTCGGAGAAAAGAGGGGCGTTCTACATTACCCATGTCGGAGCCGTTCAGATCCCAAATCCCCACCACTCCCCCCTTGGCCACAGAATATTCTTAATCAAAGCAGTATTTTGGGTTGAGGAAACCCTGGTGGAAGAGACGAATACGTGTGTGGAGTCTGTATCGTTTGGGCTATGTATGACCGTGATTCTGTCCTTAATTATCTATGATGGTGATGAAACTGGATAGCCTTAAGGGATAGAGAGAATGACTAGATTTAGCAAAGAAAGAAAAAACTGATGTAATTAAAGTTTATTCGAACACAAAATACTTTCTCTGTCTATAAAATTGCTGTCAGCAGATGCAGCATGTCCTGCTATGGGGACAGATCTCTGCAGGCTTCTAAAACCAGGTGCTTGGGCCCCCACCCACAGCTCATCCCTCCTCTGTGGCGGATACATATGCATGGTGGCGAGAATCTCTCCAAGGAAGTCTCTTGTTCTCAGGATGATTTCTTCAGAGAGGAAAAGAGGACCTGGGTAAAGACCTGGGCTGCTTTTGAGTGGATGAAGGAAGCCGTTAGACTACACCTTGAGGTCTCTGTGGGTGCCCACTGAGGCTCCTCTGTGGGCTGTTTACTGGGGGGGATGGGGTGTTTTGATTCTCACAGAAAACGCTGGCCTGTGTCACCAAGTGGCTGTGTTGATCCCCACTGAAGCAGCTTCCCATAGAGTTAGATGTGCGTTAGATGTATGGCCAGCACATGCTTTTTCTTGAGCAGGGACTGCCCCCCGCCTGGGCTCACACCATGCTTTCTAAGTTCTCTTTGGACAGGGTCTCAGTTGCTTCCTCGGCCTGAGTGTCAGATAGCACGTAGGAGTCGTGGTAATCCTGAAGCAGTTTGACCACCTCCAGGTGGTTGAACTGTACAGCATCGTCCAGGGGAATATTGCCCCACCTGTGAGGCACAGGGATCACGGTTAGGCAAAGGCAGGGAGGGTGCCTGGCTGCACGTATGTGACGGTGGCTGCAGGGGAAGTCGGGCCACCCTCCTTCCCTTTCGGACTGATCCTACTCACCTGTCCTTGACGAAAGGGTTCACTTTGCAAGCCTCGATCAGAAATTTGACAACTTCAACGTGTCCTAGGAACAGGGGCAGAAGGAAGATGAGAGAGTACTCGGGTAGGTCCTGAACCATTTGGTGCAGACCCTTGGTGTCGAGAGTCTGGACCAAGAGGGAAGGAGAAAGGTCCTTGCCAGCACCTAGTTACAGTGTGTCGGCTGATGGGCCCAGAGACAAAACTGGCTGTTGTGTTGCCTTTTACAAGCACAATGATAGGAGGTGGATAGGAAAATAGAGGGTGGGTAGGGGTGGGTAGGGGCGGAAAAGGGTCTCACACTGCTTTTCCTCTTTAACCCTTTAAATACCTTCAGCTGCAGCAACATGCAAAGCTGTACGGGAATCATAGTCCTTCTGCTCCATATCCATGGCTGACAGAGCAAACCTGAGGTAGTGGAGAGCTTGGGTTACCCATGACCGTCTGGAATCACTAGACAGCATTCCGAGGTGGGGCCAGACCGGATGGGTTCATATTATCATTTGAGGCAGAGTCCTCACTTCAAGGGCTAAGCTTGTCACACCCACAATCAACCACAGCGCCTGCTGTTATCAGCTCCCAATTAAGCTAAGTCGGCCTGCTTTTTTTAGTTAAGTTCTTAAAACAACAAACAGAGCCTAAGGCTGCAGAGAAGGCTCAGCAAAGTCCTTGAGGGGCAAGCATGCGGACCTGAGACCACAGTTTGATTCACACAATCCATATCAAAACAAAGCAGGCATGGCAACACGGGCCTGTAATCCCAGACTGTGGGAAACAGACAGGGAGTCTTGGGGCCTTGATATGTTGGTGAGCTCAAGGCTAGTGAGAGACTGTCTGGAAAAAGCAAAGTGAATGGCCCCTGAGGCATGGTACCTGAAGCTGTCTGTCCTCTGGCTGCCACATGCACGCGTGCGCGCGCACACACACACACAGAGGCATGCACTCCTTTATAGTGCAATCTGTCCTTTCTAACCCTAAAACTGAAGTGTTTAGCAAACTGTGTCCTAATTAATAATATGTCTGACCCAGAGTATTTTATCACGTTTATTTAGTCACACTAGAATTACCTTCGAAGAGCTGAGACGTCTCCACTATATGCAGCAAATAACAGGTTCACCACGGTCTTGTTCTGAAACATACATTGTACCCACCTGGGATTAACTGTGGCTTTGAATCCAACCATGCCCAGCTCCGCCCCTGCCCTCCTCCATGGGTGCTTCACCACAGATACTGCTGAAGCATTATGGGATGTTTTGTTCTGAAATATCCTTTAGACTACCCGGGGTTTTCTTTACCCGGACTTCTCCTCCTTCCCGTCGTGGGTCTAACTTCCGGGTACAGTGCCGCAAGTTGTCATAGTTGTGGAAGTTAAAGAGAGACACCAACTTCTAGAATTAGAAGCCAAAGGAATTGTTTACTTTTCCCTTGCCCCCTCTAAGAGCTCAAAATTGCTTTAATTATAGTGACTACCATGAATTAATTATTTATATTTGGGTTTTTTGTTTTGTTTTTCAAGACAGGGTTTCTCTGTAGAGAGGCTGTCCTGGAACTCACTCTGTAGACCAGGCTGGCCTCGAACTCACAGAGATCCGCCTGTCTCTGCCTCCCAAAAGCTCAGATTAAAGGCGTGCACTACCACCACCACCACCAGGCTCATTAATTTATTCTCAAACAGTACTAAGTACTATTCGCAGAACACCTTACCTGGCAGAAGTTGATGCCCCTTTGGCTGTTCCCCAGCTTGTCTAACGGAGGTGACAGACACATCATCCCCATGACATTGGGGACAACCAGGAGGATGGCTCCTGACACAGCGGACTTGGCTGGCAGACCCACCTGAGGGACACGGTGGGCTAGTCTAAGTAACAGCACAGACAAGGCCACGGCCCACCTCAACTTCTCAGCTTTATTTTTTTATTCCTCCTGCTCCCCCACTCCCTCCCCCCCATCTGCTCCTCTGAGAGGATAAGGCCTCCCCTAGGAAGTCTACTAAGTCTGCCCCATCATCTCATTGACAAAGGACCAAGGCACCTCTCTCCCCACATCCCTGTGTCTAGGCTGAGCAAGGTATCTATCTCTCCATACAGAATGGGCGCCACTGAAGACAATGGTTTGACTGGGAAAACATACAGGCCGCTGGCAGTGGGTCTGAGATCTAACACTAATGCACACATTCCTCAGCTTTTTAATTTGCCTCTGGCTCCTACCCTGTGAGTTAATGCATCACGGAGTGCTTGCAAAGGTGCAAGCAGCACTCTTCTGGGAATTGTGCTCACACTAGGAACCCTCTGCAGCCCACAGATGAGTGAGTGAGTGTGTGTGTGTGTGTGTGTGTGTGTGTGTGTGTACGTGCCCAGCCTGTGTGCCTAGTGCCCGTGGAGGCCACAAGAGGGCCTGGGTCCCCTGGAACTAGAGCTGCAGATGCTCCTCTCCCAAAGCAGCAAAGATCTTAAACACCCAGCCCCAGGAAACATCTTTCACGCAGCTTTTATTCTGGCGGTAGGATATAGACAAAAAGTGAATAGGGGCTTAAGGAATGGCTTGTCAGGTAAAGCTGCTTCCTCCTACAAAGCCTACCGACCTGAGTTTGATCTCCCACAGCCCACAGAAGTGGACGGAGAGAAAAACACTCCACACATGCACCATCATGCGTACACACACACGGATGATAAATATGCCTTTAAAATTAAAAATGGGACGGGGGGGGGCTGGAAAGATGGCGCGCGGTGGTTAAGAGCACTGGCTGCTCTTTCAGAGGACCAGGCATGGCAGTTGTCAGTTTACAACTTTCTGTAACTCCAGTTCCAGAAGATGCTATGTTCTCTGCTGGCCTGTGTGAACTCTGTGTGCACCCGATGTACAGACACACACGCAGACAAAACACCCAAACATATAACTTTAAAAAACAACTTTTTTTGAGACAGGGTTTCTCCATGTACCTCTGTCTGTCCTAGAACTCACTCTGGAGACCAAGCTGGCCTTGAACCCATAGAGATCCACCTGCCTCTGCCGCCCAGGTGCTGGGATTTAAAAAATAAATAAATAAAATACTTTAAAAGGAGTGGGGGGGGAGGGGCTGAGAAGGTGGCTCAGTAATTAAGAGCCTGTACTGTTCTCACAAAGAACCCACATTCAATTGCAAACACCCAAACTGGCAGGCTCACAACCACCTGGATACTTCTAGCATCAGTGGGCACCTGTACATACTCCCCTGCAATTTAAAAGTAAATCTTTAAAAATAAATAAAATAATTATAGCAAACACGGGAGGAAAAGAAAACAGGACTAAGGTGCTCTGAGCAGAGGTGGAGACGGTTCTGTTGAAACACAGCCATCAGAAGGGTCCCCAGGGCTGGGACACAGCTCAGAGCTCAGTGGTGCAGTACTTGCCCAGCATGGGTAAGACCTAGGTTTGACCCCCAATTCCAAACAAAACAAGAAAAACGTCCAGGTGTGGAAGTGCATGACCGTAGTTGAGGCAGGAGGATCACTGGGAGTTTGAGGCAACAAACAAATCAACCCTGCCTCTCCTTGGGAGTGACGTCTAAGATGGGAGTCAGCTATGTAAAGGGTCTGTGTAACGTGATGTAGTTGGCAAATTTGCCTAGGGATTCCTGGCCTGGTTGCCTGGCTCGATGTCTATGAAGGGGGCCAGAGTAAGCCTGGGACCACGGGAAGATGGGCACAGAGCGGGGACACTCACATGGAAGGCAAACTGGCCAGAGAAGTCATACATGCCACAGGAATGCATGAGGCTAAGGGTGTTACGCACGGCTTCAGCACTCAGGACACTCTCGCCCGTGATGGGGCAGATGCCCCCATTGGCGAGAGTGGCTGCCATGACACTGCCCGATTCACAGGTGACCTCCACAGAGCATAGCTATGGAAACAAGAGAGGTCAAAGGGCAGTGTGGACACGGGCACGGTCATGGAGAACGATGCTCCTAACAACTAGAGCTTTCAACACGTCTGACAGGACCAGCAGAGAGGTGTGTCTACCGTGTGACTGGGAGAGAGAGGGCAGGCTGTCCTGTCCCCTTGGCCCAGGGAGTGTCTGCTTACCTGGAAATAGAGATCAAGGGCAGCCATCATGTCCACCCCCTTGGGGAAGCACTGGGCAAAGAACAGGATGAAGAAGTTTCTTCAGGACATAGTTCCACACTCAGATTCTCAGACTCCAACCCCTCCCCCTGGACCCGGCAGCAGAATTCCCAGGGACTTCCTCTACTAGC